CCTTGGGATTCCCATATATTAGGCCTTGCCTCTATCTATAAATAGCCCCCCATCTTTAGTGGACGACCATTTTGGTAGAAGTGTGGTCTTGGAGAACTTCTCTGCCGCGCAGGACACAAACATCTACGGCTGGGCGGGGTGGATGAACATCAACGACCCGAACGAGGCAAGAGGCGAAAGAGGCGAAGCAGTTGTTTTTTTAGTGCCCTCCAAGTGGCTTAAGTGTTGTTTTAGGACTAAGTGTTTCTTTATTTTGAAAATGGATCACCATGATCACCCAAAAAACAGAATCGAGGGCACTGAGAAGAAGCTGGAAAGAAGGTTTCAGGTGGTGGGATTCCATTCCTTGCCCTTGCCCCCATTGGACTTTATACTGCTTGGAAAGACCATGTTAGTGGCAAACAAAAGGTTTGCACTCTTCTTTGCCAATCCATTCAGGAAGTTAGAAATTTGGTTGTTTCCCTCAAAACTGACCTTAACGCAAAGAATACGGGCTTAGGGAGAATTTCCGGGGGGAGGGGTCAGGAGAAGGGCGGGCGGCATCCCGCATGTTCGACTCGCATCAGTGTGTCTCAGATGATTAAACCCGCCGGATGAATGACGGATGACGGATGAATGATGGGTGTGTGTCTGTGTGTGTGTCTGGCTGTCTGTGTGTCTGTGTGTCTGTGTGTCTGTGTGTCCCTGGACCCATTTAACCACTTTTCACGGGGTCATTCTGCTCAGGACCATGAAATTCGGTTTTCACGGCCATTGCCTTTTTTCACGGCCACTGCTTGCACTTCACGTTTTTTCAAGGTTTCGGCCCGTTTTTCACGGCCATTCACGCGTTTTTCACGGCCTTTCCACGCGTTTTTCACGGCCATTCAGGGTGCTGCTGCGGTTTCACGGCCATTTGCCCAAACGACCAACGACCCCAGGAAATTATAAAACCAAATGGTTGTCCAGGTCTGTCCTTCGGGATAATTCGGGGGTCACTAGCCCAAAGCAACCGGGTGTTTTGACCAAGTCAATTCACTCCTCTCGTCCACCAGGTCTGCGTGATTTGTTGGATTGCTGAACACAAAAGTAAAAAGTCCAGACTTTGTTTTAGCAAAAGGTCGAAATCGACCTTTTCTAGCCATACTCTTCCAGGACTTGAGGGACCCTGAACAAGTGGGGACTTCCAGGACCCAGAACAAAAAGAACGAAAGGAAAAAAAGCGGCCTTCGGCCTGTGGCTCTGATGTTCCTTTTCCGTTTGAGCTTCGTTCCCTTCGTCGAGTCGTCCAAGCGGAGGCCGATCTGAAGAAGGGCCCTATGGAGGCGGCCAATGACTTCGAGCTGAACCACAGGCCGGGCGTTGAAAGCGGCGGCGAAGAGACAAGAAGACACGTGTCGCTCTGGAGCCTGGCAAGATGCCAACGCTAAAGACCAGCTGAATTTGCCCTATTCCAACGGTAAACACCAGTTGAAGTTGCCCTAAATGGGGGGAATTCCGTTTTTTGGGGGGGTTTGGGGGGAGTTGAGGGTTCAGGATGATGCCCACCTCACCTCCTGAGAGAGATGAGTCCGAACTTGTCTTGCGATGAAGGTCCACAAGGTGGGAGGGGAACCTCCCAAAGTCCTGCCCCACCCCAAAAAAGTTTTCAATTTGGTTTTTCTGGGCTTCCCTTTCAATCGACCCGAAAGATGCTAACTGGAGCCCCAAATGTTTGGGGCGGGTGTATCCTCGACTCGAGTCGCCTCCGGTCGCAGCCGGTCCTTGGTCGCCCAGGGCGGACTTTGCGCGCACAGATTGGTGCGCCAAGCACTACGGTGGCCTGTCGCAGACGCAGAATGGCTGGCAGGGCTGCCCAGTTGCGACCGCGGGGGCGGGGGCGGGAGCCCTAAATCAGCCCCAATCCACCCCAACCGGCCCTAAACCCATCTGAAACCGACCCTACAACCCAACCACAGGACCACCAAGACAAAGGATGGGGGCGATGACCCTCCAAGGTTTTCCCCGAATTGACGGGACCCAAGGAAGACAAGCCAGGTCCGCTGTGGCGTAAACTGCGAGAAACAGCCCTTTGGTAGAGGCAGACTAAAGCATCCGCACATTGGTTCGACGTCGCCTTTGCATGTACCAACACCAAGTTATCTTACTTATGTTCAACGTAGATTACAACGATGGTTGCAAGCCAACTAAAACCCCAGTTGCCCGGCTACCATGATTGCAACCTACTTACTTGACCTTGGTTGAACATCCACGATTTGTCATTGCTTGTATGGGTTTGATCGGCTGGTTTCAAAGGCCTTGTCCGTGGCGAGGTGCCGAGTCTAGTGTGGGGTCTGCATTGGAGGACCACTTCTTGATAATTGTCAAACCATGGCTCAGTCTCCATTTGAGCCACAATCAAAACCCGGGTAGATGAAGGTTAGTCAGGAACAAGCCCAACTTTAGAAATAGCTGTGGCCGCCTTCATAATTCTTCACATGGTTCTCGGTAGGCCATTTTTATACCGGGTTTGGACTATGACTCATTTGGCATTCCACCGCGAAGCGATACAAGCATTTCCGCCATGGGTCCCAAACCAACACGGCAAAACAAGAAATATGTTCTCGGTCGCAACTGCGTCTCAAGGCCGCCACTTGCAGGTGTGGTTTGGTTTGTGCCTTCGCATTAATTACCTCTCAAGAGATGAGGAACAAGACATACCTGGACCCTCAAGCGACCCATTAAAAAATGGAATTCGCCCCAAAAGCTTGGGTTGCGACAACCCATTGTTAAGTTGGAATTTTGAGGGACGACGAACAGGCATATCATGATGGAACCCCAGTTGCCTCGTGGTGCCATTTTTTCTTTATTTTTTTGGGAAGGGTTCCCTTTAAACTCAACCAACCGGAAAAAGGATGCCTTTTTTTCCCCTAGCCACTGGGCATCTGAGGAACCAAACTGAAGCAACTACTATAAGGGACGGAAGGAACACGGATGACATGGCAAAAAGTGAAGTCCACTAGCCCTTGTTTCGGACTGAAATTTCTGGAAGACTTGAATTACTTTAGTGGGTAACCCATAGTGGGTAGTAAGTAACCCATAGTCGTCGCGATTTCGCTTTTTCACTGGGGCCCTTCCCTTTTTTTTGTTGTTGTACTTCTTCATGGCGTTTGGCAGCGAATCTTTGGGCTTCAACTCTTTGGTCAACAGTGGATTGTCCATTGGACCCTCAAAAAGTGTTTGTTTGCGGACGAGTCAGCAGCATCCACAAAGGGGTCTTCGCCAGGAGTGGGTTGGAAGGCTTTGCCTGGACCCTTGCTTGCATTTGTTTTGGTGTCCTTTTGGGCCAAGGCGACAGTTCTGTAAACCTGGCAGAAAACGAAAGAGAGTTGCCTGCCTGAAAGCCCGAGAGTCGGTCAACCTTCAAACCCCTCCAGGGCCCTGGACCGAGTTTCTGGACCTTAAGCCTTTTGGGCGCCGTGTTAGTGGTAAATAGAACTCCGTGGCAAAGTCCTCAATCCATGGCCCCTTCCATTCCAGGTTCCGGGGATTCCATCTTTTTTGATTTGTTAGGGTCCCGAGACCATACTGTGGCTGGTCGCGACCTCCTTTTCGCACCACGAAATGAAACCATGGATGAAACAATCACGTTTGCTTGCGGTATTTGTAGGGGAGTCACCATTCCAGGGTTTCTCCGGCGGCGCAGGATTTCGTCCATCCGCGATATTATTTGAGGTCTGGTGGGGTCATTTCGGCCCTCATATTTAGGGTCTAAGGGGATCCTTGGAATTGTCCAGACTTAAAACTAGGGGTTGTTGATTTCCCAGGGGGCACCCCCTGTTCAAGTTGTTGGGGGAACCAACAAATGGAACCCTGTTCTCAGGTTCTTTCGCCATGCAAACCCAAGAGAACGCGAGCGGAAAAAATGGAGCAAGTCCGCGAGGGCCATGCCGACTGGTTGACTTGACAACTCACTCCCAGAGTTCTTGGGGTTGATACTTTTTGGGAAGGCCATTCTAGTGGCAGACTGTTTTTGTTTACCGCTTTTTCGGCAAACCCACTCAGGCAGGGAGTCAGACCACAAAACTAGGCTTCCTATATGTTCCCCAGGTGGTTGCTAGTATTTTAAAGTGAGATGTTGTTTCATCGTGTAATGATTAGATGGAAAACGGGTTTGTCTCAAAGTGGGCGAACCCCAAAAAATATAGATAGGTAGTTTCCTCTTGGTCGAGCCCCAAAGGGTACCCCAACAAGACACATGCAAACACATGGATCCGGCAAAACACATCGAGCCGCGACCTTGTCGGGGGCCATGCAGTCTTGGCTCAAAATGGCCCAGGGACCGTGCCCTACATGTGTCACTCAGTTCCCGCAACTCGATGTGCGCAAAAAAAAAACAAAAAAAACACACACGGAGCAAACGCAGAAACATGACCCAGTGGATCCCAGGCAAGCCGACATACTAGGTAACCCCTTCGCCATTTTCCTTTTAGTGTTTAAGAGCTGGCAAGCGCTTGGTGACCTACAAAGCCAGATAAAGGCTAGAACCAAGTTAGAAGTCCTAGTCGAGTTGGGATGCACCCAAATCAATGGTTACATTATTTGCGGAGGTTTAAACCTCCTTGGCGAAGTGGCTTGCTTTGGCCCATTCGGAAGTAACGCAAAGTCAAAAACGGACTTGGTTTGAAGTCAAGCTTACCCCTGCTGGGCAAACTAGCAATACAAAGGGGACCTTACCCCAGATTTTCGGGGCACACATCCATTTTTGTAGACGGAATTTTGAGGGTCCGGGTACACTTATTTTCCATTTTCGGAGGAGTAATTTGCCCACATGGCTTGTGAAGCTCGCAACAGGAGGGACAATTGGTATTGGCCCCTCTTATTTTCGGCTTGGCTTTGGCAGATGACCAAAAAACACGGGGTACGGGGAAAACCACGACTCGAGACCAGGTTGTTACCTGATTTTTCTTCTCCTGTTATTCCTTAAGTTTGCCAGTTTCTTTAAAGCACCTGGGATCTTCTACGCATCGCTGCGATCTTTTCGGCTCAGCTGGGCTTTTGCCCCATGCTGCGATTTCTGCTCCCCGCCTTCGTCGTGGGACAGAGCCAGCAAGACGCCGAGTTGCAATGGGAAGGTATGCAGTTCCGCCACGTGTTCCTTCCATTTGCTGAAATGCCAACTTGTATATTTGCCGTGTTTGGTTTGAAGGGGAATCTATCACTACTGGACCTATTTGCGTTTGTCCGGGGCCCCTAAGCAAATGGAAGGTTCCGTTTTTGATTAAGGCAAAATCAGTTGCCAAGCTTGGTAAGCTTGCGGCCAAACAAGTGGTCACTTATACAATGCTTGGGGGTGTCTTTGTAGGGTGGTTTGCATCGGGTTCCTGAAGCAAGCATCGCGTCTTACTGGAACATTGTGGTTGGCAAAAGTCTTGGCGGTGTTTACTATATATCCCCAACCCCTTAAAAGCATTGGGGGAAAAGGGTGATTTCTGGAACACAATTTACGGTAGCCCATTTTCCCTTTTACGCAGAAGTGGAAAATGGGATCTCGTCTTGGACCCCTCCCCGTACCCCTTCAGGTCTGAAGGGGAAGATTTGTAGGGTACCTCAAATCTCACTTCCCGAGTTCTTGGACTTCGAGCTTTTTGGGAAGGCCGTTTTGGTGACAGAGCTTTTCAGTTTTGGTGGCAAGCAAACAGTCTGGACTGTGTTTTGGTCCCACTGAAGTTTAATGGGAAGATCGTTTTGGTGACAGACAAACAGTTGGGGGCTTGTTTTTGGCCATCGGGAAGTGAGTTGCAGGGAGCATCCAAAAGTGCGCTTTCTCGTTTCAACGGAAATCCCCGGCAGACTGCAACTTCTGATTTGGGGGAATTCGGCAAATCCTTTTCCCTGGAAACTTTCAGTTCGGACTGTCTTTTGGGCGTCCACTCGGGAAATGCAAATCCTTTTCTCCTCAAGCGAAACTGCGTGTTCCCTGTCAGGACTTGCAGAATGCCTTGGTCTTGGGCGACAGCTGGGCGGAATACTCCCTGGGCCCTGCTGCCCTGTTGGAGGATGTGTTTCGACCTGTTTATTGTTTTGTCTGTTGGTTTGTTTGTTTGTGCTTGGTTGTTTGTTTGTTTGTTTGTTTGTTTTGTTTGTTTGGTTGTTTGTTTGTTTGTTTGTTTGTTTTGTTTGTTTGATTGTTTGTTTGTTTGCTTGTGTTGTTTTGTTTTGTTTGTTTGTTTGTTTGCTTGTGCTGTGTTGTTGTGTTTGTTTGTTTGTTTGTGTTGTTTTGTTTTTTTTTGGTTTGTTTGTTTGTTTTTGTTTTTTTTATTTGTTTGCTTGGTTGTTTCTTTGTTTGCTTGTGTTGATTTTGTTTGTCAGTTTGTTTGTCAGTTTGTTTGTTTGTTTGTTCGTTCGTTTGGATTGGTGGTGATTTGAACCCTTGTTTCTTGTGGGGTAAATGGGAAGCCACCCAAACCCCAAACAACCGGGGTCCAAAGCTGCTAAAAGGAAGCTGATTGTTTGCTTTCCACCTTGTTCGTTTGGTTGCTTCTTCCGTTGTTCTTTTTTGCTTTGTTTGTTTGCCTGCTTTTTTTTTTCCTTTTGTTTGGCTATAGTTGTTAGGTTGCTTGTTTGATGTATTTTGATGTTCTTCCGTGTTCGTGTTTGCGATGCTCAAAAAACAACTTAGGGACCCACACGGGTCCTAGCATGTTTCATCTTTTCAGCCCCCCCCCCCCCCCGCCCTCAAAAGCATAGCAAAAAACCAGCCCCCTGCACCTGAACCCTCAAACTACACAAATATATATATATATTAAAAAAAAAAAAAAAAAAAAAAAAAAAAAAAAAAAAAAAAAAAAAAAAAACATAACTTGCCAGCCATAAGTTTGGGGCACACCATCTAGGTCCCCCAGCTAGGCGCCCTTTCTCACCCCTTTTTTGGGGGGTAGGGTTCCCCTACAAAAATAGACTACAGCAAAAAGTTGGTCCCCTGATTCTAACCTCTCTGGAGGACCTCGCCATGTTTAAGTTGGAGTTGTGAGGGTCCAGTCTACCATAGGCTTTGCTTTGGGTGAAAAAGACGCGGTGGGGGGCAACTCAGTGGGGTTTGAGGCACTTGGTTTCTGGGCCAAAGTCGAGCTGGTTGCAGAACTCCGGAGATTGCGGGGCGAATTTATTCACTGGATTGCCCTCATGTGTCTTTTTGAGGGTACCTGGACCCTCCAAATTTCAAGAGACACATTTGGTATTGCAATCCTACAATGATGAAATGCCTGTTTACTGGGTAGTTTGAGGGTCTAGGTACCTTTGAAACATGCGCTATCCATGTTTTGTGCTTGTTTGGCGGTTGAAGCTGAAGTTCAAGTTTAAGCGTCTTGAACCAATATCGCTCTTCAATGGTTTGGATGTGTGCCCCTTGTTTTGTAGACAAATGGGAAACCACCCCTATCCTCCGAACCATCAGTAACCAAAGTGGCAATTTGGTTGCACCCTGAAGTAAGCAGACAATAGATACAACTGCCCATTCGGATCCCAATATGCTGAAGCCACAGGGCAGAGTAATGTTAATGGAGTTTCGCTTGGAGTGGATGCCGCGTATACCGTAGATCGGAAATCGCGAAATCCCCATTTTGTTTTCCCCACCTTTCAGAAAACCTAGGATTCGATTCCCCACGCTAATACCAACAAGCATTCTGGTGTCCAAATGGATTTCGCAACCATCCACAGTGAGTATTGGAAGTGACCCACATCCACCAACAGTTGTCTGGTTCATTTGGGTGCGTCTCATTCTTTGGGGACTCTCTAGCTTGGGTCTTGTTTGGGTTTCCCTTTACAGACATCCAGAAGGAATCCTCTATTTCTAGACAGACCCAGTTACTCGAGCTGTTGGTTTCCAACTCGTCCCTCTTGAAATCTGAGTTGTTCAGTGGCACCCTTCTTTCCCCAATTTTTTTTGGTGGCTGCCCCACTAAAAATGGTCTTCCCCAAACAGGGGTCCTTTTTTTCCCAGGGTCACTGAACAACTGAGAAATGCTTGGTGCGAATGCGCCGTAATGTGCCGTATGCCAAACGTCTCACCCCAGCAACCCCAACAACAGCGACAAAGGACGACCCTCAGAGCTTCCTCCTTTCGACGACCATACGTAACTGAGACATACGACTAGGTCCCCCAGTAGTGCCCTTTGTTACCAAATTGTGAGGGAACTTTGAGGGAAATCACCACAGCTGTTGGGTGTAGGGTGCTCTTGGCTAGGTCCCCCAGCCAGGTGCCGGGGGAGGGTTCCCCTACTAAAATAGACTACGGAAAGAAAAGTTGGTGCCCTCATTCTATCCTCGCTTGAGAACCTGGACGATATGAACTAGCACGGGTTGTTGTCAATAGGGCTTGTTTGTAAACGCCGCCGCCGATATGTGCCCCCTTTTAAAGGGGATACCAAAAAGGGACCCTGAGTATTGACAGAGACTGGAACAAGTGGTTGACAACTTGGCTTGATGCAAAGGTGAGTGGCAAACACCTGTGGCTTTGTCTGCAAGGCGGAACTTCTCCAAAACGGTTGGTTTTCTGTTGCTTTCTCTTTAAACCAAGCCATCAATCAAGCCCCAAACGGGCACCTGGACCCTCAAAATTCCCTTAAACATGTGGTTTTGCTCAACATTACGGGGTGAATTCCCTTTTTATGGCTACCCTCAAGCAAAACGAGCCACCCATGTTGACCTTGGCCCCTGCATGCAACTCATGTCAGACTCGCTGCTCCGCCACTGCCCTTTAGCGAACCTGGTGAACAAAGGCGCCGCTGGGGCTACGGCAGCCCAGCCCAACTGGGGGCCACTCCTTGGATTGTTTTTTGTTTGGTTGTTGTTTTGCGTGTGTTTTCTTCTTTTTTTTTTAAAAAAAAAAAAAAGTGTGTGCCGTTTGTTGTTTTTCCTTTTCCAATGTTGCTGTTCTTTGCATGTTCGTTTTTCTAGGTCCCTTTGTGTGTGTGTGTGTGTCTTTGTTCCTTTGCGTGTCCCTGGACCCTCAAGATTCCCTTAAACAGTTTGTGCACACAAGTATGGTTGGTGAATTCCCTTTTCGTATGGGTAGTTTGAAGGTTCAAGTTTATTGTTGTTTCCTGTACTTGTTGCTTGTGTGTGCAGTTGTTTGTGTTTATAGTTTGTTGCTGTACTTATTTAAAGCTGCTCTTCATGTTGATTGCCTACAGTGTTGCTGGATGGATAAGACAATACTTCTGGTCTGTTGCTGGCCGTTTGTTATGCTGTTGCTTTCTTTGTTGATCGTCGGCTGCATTTCCTTTCATGGTTTGGTGGTTTGGCGTTGGTTTCATTTTGAGTGTTATGCTTCTGAATTTTATCATGTCCTTTTTAGTGTTATTCTAGGGGTACCTTCCCCTTCTTTCCAGGGATCCTTCTTTCTAGAAAACCTCTGGAAACCCAGGGAAAACGGATCCGGTTTTTGGCAAGAACGATGGTTGAAAAGAATGGGCGTGGCTCAAATTAAACAGCAGGGGCAAACCGCAGGTTGTGGTCCATATTTCCACTTACTAAGGGCAAACCATTTTGGGTACAGGAGGGCTTTTTGAGCCATAGCCAATGGGGAATCAACCCCTAGAGTTATGTGGGGAATCAACCCCTAGAGTTATTAGGCTGTGGCTCCAAAAACCGGAATTCCAAAATGGGTTGCCAATTTGATCGGCAAGTGGAAACATGGGTTCCCAAAACCCGCGGTTTGCCAGCCCCTCCGATCGTTTAATTTTGAGCCACAGGCTTGTGCTTCCTTTTGTTTCGGTGGCTTCCTTCAAGACAGAAAGAGCAGACTGCAGGCTGCGAGGGCTGCGGGGGGGGGGGGGGTTTGGGGCTCTTTCTCATGGGATGCAAGTTGCTGACATATCTAACCCACCCCGGATCGTGTGGTGGTGTCTTCTTTTAAAATCGGTTTTAGAGGCACGCCAAAAGGAAGCACTGGCCATTGTGTGGGTCAGTTTTAAAACCACCCATACTGTGGATGGACGAACTCCATGTTGCACCACCGTTCAGAAACTTTGGAGTGATTCAATTCCCCAGCGTAAATGCCAGCAGACCTTCTGGATTCAACCATGGTTTCATTAACCGTGGTGCGAAATGGATTTCGCGAGCATCCACAGTACGTGGGTAGTATCCGCGTATTTTTTTCACTGGGCCGTCCATAAGGCTTTGGGCTCGAACGGCCGGCGAACTGGATTCCAAGAAGCGTTGCGCACGTTCCCTTTCTTCTCTCACTTGTCCAAACCCGGCCTTTTTGACATGTTGGATTTCCCATGTTGGCTCAATTTTCAGTAAAGGCGCCAGTGCCAAAAGATGATCACCTTTTGTATTTCTGGGTTGCGGGAGTTCTTTTTCCATGAACAGCAACACACCCCAGTTTAGTTCTTGGGGGCAGGCCACTGAAGTCACGAAGCCGGTCCTCATTCCCATCGTCAAGTCTGCACTTGGCTTGCAAGTTCTCATTTCCTGAGTTCTTGATCATTTAATGATCTTGATTTACTTCTTTGTGGCGATTGGTAAATCACGTACGCCCCTCGGTTCCTTTGAAATTTGAAGGCTGTCTTTTTGGGGTTCTCGCTTCCACGTGGTTTGGCCAGCGAAAAGGAACCAAAGTGTTGTTGTCCCACACTGGTGCAAACCCACAAAGGGTTTTTTTGCCGATCTGCGAAAAAAGTTCACAAGTTCCTGTGCGTCCGATGGAAAACCCACAGATTTCAACCAAACAATTAAAAAGTCTACATAAGGTACGAGGCGCTCTTCCGCCTCGCCCGTTCTGACTCCCCCATCTTTTGCCTCGAGCTCGACCAAGCTCGCGGAAGGTTCCTTAAAGCTTTGACTCACGGTTGAATCGTCCAGCAAGCCATGAACATAGATGTCCTGTTTGGTTGGTCCGGCTGAAGAATCCAGGGTGACTCCTAGTTTACCCGGTGACTACCAGGGCCATCTATTTGCCAAAAGGACACCTGTGCCCATAAACTTTCTCTTTGCCGCTCGGATCCTTCACTGTTGTTGGATCAAGCTTTTAGGTGTTTTGTCGTTTCCCTTTTTGTGTTCTGTTCATTGCTAGTAGGGGGCTGCAAAAAACAACGCAGCAGGTATACCTGGACCCTCAAAATACCAGTGAAACGGGGTATTCACTCGTAATTTTGGGGCAATAACCCAGTTTTAAGTTGATTTGGAGTGTCCAGCTGCCTTGGGTTTGCCTTTGGTCTCCTTTTATTTCGCCTTTGGCCCTCTGTTGACCCAGGCAGCCATGTGGGCAAAGGCGGAAGACTGCATCACCAGTCCGCACCACGCCATTTGCTGCGCCTCGTAGATGGAGCTGGGAGCTGATGCGCAAGATTTATTGGGTCTTCCATCTGGTTTTCGGTTTTCCCTTGGCTCCCCTTTTTAGACTGAGCCAACCTCTTTGGAGGATTCTTTTATTTGCTGAAATGAATATGGTTAAGAATTGGTTTTATCATTTTTCTGAATATTTGTTCTTTTTTTTTGTTCTTTCTCCTGTTGGTTTTAAAGGGAATCGATTTCACGACTGGAAATATGTTTGATATTTTTCCACGGCATTTACGCAAATGGAGGGTGCGCTCAAGGTGTTTGGTGATTTGTGGGTTTGCCTCATGGACCTTGATAGTTTCGGGAAGCAGTCCAACGAATGAGCCCATAGTTGCACTTCTGGGGCGAGGGTGAATTCATACTAGCCTGTACTAACCCCTGAGCAAAGCCTTGCTAAGGGCTTATCCTTGGCTTGTCCCGGGCTTATCCATGGGTAACCCCTCCCCCCCATAGCCCCCCTGCCGGTCCATGATGGAGTTAGTTTCCTTTTATGGATACCTGGACCCGCAAACTAGCCAGAAAAAGAGGTTTCATTCACGTGTTTGAGGCAATCACCAATTTTCAAGGGAATTTGAGGGTCCAGGTAGTTTGAGGGTCCAGGTAAATGTGTAGTCAAGAGGATGCCAGTGCCTTCGAAGGATGTTGGTGCAGAAAAAGGGGTTAAATGTACCTGGACCTTCAAATGTATTGCATGGTATTGGATGTGTGTCTTTTTGAGGCTACCTGGACCCAACCAACATTCCAAGATAAAAACAAGCTAATGCCCCAATAATATAGAGTGAAATTCCTTGTTTATGGGTACCTGGAGTCTCCATGATCCTTCAAACATGGGTGCATGACCCCTTTATGCTGGGTAATGCCCAACATATTTCTTGGGTCACGGAGACTCTAGGTCCAGGTGCATACGATACCGGCCCGAAGCGCGTTTTTGGCAAGGCCAGGCGAATAAGAGCTGCAACGTCGCCCACGCCGTGCACGCCATGAGCGAAGCGGCTGAGCGCGTGCCCTCGATCGCGTGGGTGAGCATCGGTGGCAACGACTTCTTGTGCCTCGCGGGAAAGAAAGCAACATGTCGCAACCCATGGCTCCATTTTGGGGCGGAACACCCATGTAATGTTAACCCCGGATTAATAAACCCTGGTTGATTAATAGGAGGGTGTCCCCTTTCAGTGGGGATGTATCACTTTTGGAGGGACCACCCCCCAAAAAAAGGGGACGGGTTCTACTTAGATCCCGGGTCAACATTACCACCTATGTTGATGTACCACCAGGAGGTTTCCGGTTTTGACCCACAGCCCATTGATCCATCAACCTCCCAGGTCAAGCCAAGGCCGTCACCATAGCCATAGCCCTTGGGGGTCCCTAGCCTCCCTTGCGGGGTCCCTGGCTCCAGAATTGTGAGTTGCGATGACCCATCTTTGAGTCTGGGGACATGATTTTGACTGTTTGTTAGGGGTTGTTAAAGTCAGAAAGTGTGGTTGTTTCCCTTTAACCCACCTCCTAGGGGGTGGCCTTGATCGTGGTAAAAAAGTTCGGCCAGTAAGTTGGAAAAGTTGGAATTTGTGAACTGACGAGCCAGCAAAAGCTCAATTTGCCTGGCCGTGGCGGTTTGTCGCCATGCGGTTCAATTTGGCTTTTTAGATCTGTTTAGCTAGTTTATTGGTTGGGTTTCTGTATTTCACCCACTAAGAGTTAAGCTTTTAGTAGGGGACTTGAGGACAGCCCAGCAAGGTTTTCTCCCCCTAATGTAATATATGCCCAATTTTGACCGGGTAAATGTGAGCAAATGTTGCATACATGGATTGTTTGCGAGGAACTCAAAGACCCAGACCATCTCCAAGAATTTGGCCCGAAACCGCCGTATGTGCCACTTGACCATTGGCGTCCACTTTTGGGAGGGGGTTGCAGAGTCCCAGAGTCCCTGAACATTTGGGAGGATTTGCGTTTGCTAAGGATTCTTGTTTTGGCTTGTCATATTGAGCAGCAAAGTAACTTATTTTGGAGCCCCAAACTCCATCAGTCAGACCCTGGTTCATTAATGGGCCGGAATCAAACATATTTGCGGTGGAACAGCTGAGGTAGCAAAGAATTGCTTGTTTTGTGAACCTGCCCCCCCCCCCCTCCCCAAAAAAAAAGAAGAAGAAAGAAGCAAAAAAACAACAATCAACAAAAACAAAACGAGAAACGGAGAAAAACAAAAGCAAACAGAGAAGGACAAGACAAACCAGCAAACAATTCAAAAAGGAATCCACCAGGCGTGCCACACCTCAAGATCTTGGGAGTCGTCCCCTTCGAGTCCTTTGGCCAATGGTTTTTTCCTGGCTTGAGGGTTCCGCATGGGTCTTTTTCAGCGGGTGAGTGGGGTCCCTGCGACCTGAAGAAACATGGTCAACCCTGTGATCCGGATGCTTTTGGAGAGTACTTGGGCTTTTGCATAGAAAGCAACACAGCATGCTCTTTGGTGCATTTTGCTTGGCTGTTAGGACTTTAACTTTTTGCCAACTAATGGGTTTTCCACTAAACCACTAAAGTTAAACTGTTAGCAGGGGAGCAGAAAGCAACCGAGTGCTGGTACCCAGTCGTTCCTAGTTGTTGGGGGAAACCTTATTCATGTTTATGCCCGGTTGTCGTTTTGGGATTCAAGCTTTCGCGAGTGACCGTCACAAGTGTGCTGACCGTACCTGGCTATGTTTAGCATTCCATCGAAGCAAGGAACGCTGGCTGCCCGGACGAGTTCTTCTTCCTGCAATACCTGCAGAAGGACGTGGAAAAGGCGCACTCGACATGTTTGTCTTGTCTAACTTGGTGTTTGGCAACGAGTTAGCAGGATATGTGTCAAAACAGACAAACCTAAAAGATAGTGGTGTTCCTTTTGGCTGACCTCCAAAACAACCTGAAAGGGGTACCCTCAAGAAACACAGACCCAAGCGGGTAGTAACCAACCGTAGGTTATGCCAATTTGTTGATCTTATTTCTTTTCCCATGCTGGGTCCTGGATCGGGACCAACTGAGAAAACGCGGCCAGTTGGGGACGCACTGATGCATCTTGCAGGTTGTGGAGCATTTGCAGATGCTGACGCCGCAGACAAAGCCGCTCGCTTAAAAGTCGTGCTGGTATCGGAAAGGGTGTGTACAAGTTGTCATCGAGGAAGCCAACATACAACAAAATCACAATCTCGACCCTCCAATTTCCCTTAAATGGTCGTCGCTCCAAACTTCTGGGGCGAATTCCTTGCTTTGTGGGTAGTTTGAGGGTTCGAGAATGTGCAAAAATCCAGGGGTGGCGGTGCAACTGACTATGCTGCTTTGAGCATGGCCGATGAAGTTTATGTTTTGTTTTGGCTTTGTCAGTTGAAAGTGGATTTCTCGATATCACCTATAAACCTCGGATTTTGAGTATTTCGTACCCCAAGAGCTCGGATGTTTAGTATTTGGTAGGCTCCAGAGCCCAAAAAGCTCCGAGTTTTTTCATTTGGTACGCTGCCAGAAAGCCCGGATTCTGGGTATTTGGTACGCCCGCATCCCTGAAATTTGGTACTCCCCACCCGAAAAAAGCTGGGATTTTAGTATCGTGCACCAGAAAGCTCGGATTTTGGGTATTTGGTATATGCCCCACGCCCCAAATGCCCGGATGTCGGCTACAAAGAACTCGGTTTTCACATTAAGACATACCCGGCGCCCCAAACCGATCTCGGATTTGTGGTAATTATGTGGTACGCTTCCCGAAAGTTCTCCCCGTGGTATAACCAGCCCCACTTCCTTTTTTTCTTCAAAAGGGTGGCGCTTGCCCTTGGTTCCAAGTCCAGGCAACTGGAGTCACCACTAGAGCTAGGAAACCTGCCATTGTGGTTTTTACAGTTTGCCGGCGCTTGCCCTTGTTCTCCTTCCCATGGAGTTTGCGTGGGTCTGGTTTGGTTGCGTTTGCCGGCATTCGCACCCGCTAAGATTGAGTAGTGGGGTGGGGGGTCCGTGGCTCCGTCCTAAAGTCCCTTGCCATGACCAGAAAATGCAGTAAGGTGCCATCCGAAAGGAGCATTTTGACCAAGCTCCCATCATTTATCTAGGGGTTGATTCCTTGTCCATTCTTTTCAACCATTGTTCTTTTCCAAAACCGATCGGCGTTTTCCCTGGGTTTCAAAGGAGGTTTTCTAGAAAGACAAACGGATCCCTGGGTTCAGAATGGAATGGAAGGTACCCCTAGAGTCTTTCTTTCCTTGTTTTCTTTGGTGAGAGAAGTGATTCACCGTTTGCTCAGGAGGAGCTACCCAGCGTTTCGGTTGCTTTCGGCGGTTTTGCGAGGATCGTGCTGACGGGCTACTGCGTGCCCAGCGGCGATTTGGCCTGGCACCCCCGAGAAGCCTGCCACAAGCCGCAGGCCTTGCTCCCGGTGAACCTGGCGCTGCGCCATGGCTGCGAAGGAGGGGGGCTCCGTTTCATTTGTTCTTTTTGAAGTTGAGGGGGGTGAAACACTGCATTTGCCTGGACCCTCAAACGTCTCTTAAAAATGTGGTGTTGCTCACATTGTCTGAAAGACATGTGTTTTGTTTGTTTTTTTTGGGGGGTAAACACTGCATTTACCTTGGGAAGCCCTTTCGGTTCCCAACAATGTTTACCCCGGATTAAATCAACCCTAAACCACTTTTGGAGGGGCCAAACACCACCCCCCCAATTTTCGTAAACAGGTTGGTTGATGAATATGGGGTCAACATTACTTCCATTTGCTGAAGCCCAGTGAACAAATATATGTCGGGTAGTGAAATCGATTTCCTTTAAAACCAACTTGGAGGTAACAACATGTATTCATTTCAGTAAATGTGAGCAATACCACATGTTTAAGGTAATTTTGAGGAGAAAAGAGTTGGAATTCACCAACAATAATTTCTGGGGCAATCTGCTGGACACGTGCTTACCTGGACCCTCAAAATTCCAACTTGAAATCATCCAACGATTTGTGTTTTTTGGGAGGTGTTTCTACTGCCTGATTTCTCAATCATCCCCAATTTAGGGCCTGTAAAACCTGTTCAAGCGTGGTAGAACCAAAAGTCAATAAGTTTCGGAGTGCCAAGCAGGAAAATATCTGAGGGTCAATGAAGGGAGAACTCCTTTTACACACCTGGGTAACTGCCCCTCAAAGACTTGGTTCATCTCCCTGCCCCGGCTGAACATTCCTGCAGTCATATTTTGGCTTGGAGGTGGGTTGGACACGAGGGAACCTACAAAGCGGCACGAGCAATGCTCAGGTCCAAGCCAGTTCCCATTGCAGTAGGTAGCTGGGGAGGGTATCGTGTAAACGCTAGAGGTACAAACCCCAGATAACTGCCATTCCACCAATTCCATAATTTCGGGTTGCAAGTTGCCCCATGTTCAAGGCTGGGCATGTTGAGGGTCAACTTAGAGCGATGACTTGAAGTACTGTGCCCCCCCCCAAGTAAAAAGAATCGCCACGCGGCCGCCCAATTTTTTTGGTTTCTTTGCTCACGAGGAAGCAGGCGGCCGAGGCTAAGGCGGTGGCCTTTGTGAATGTGTCCACCATCTTCGGCGGCAGCTTCGCCCGCCACAGCGACCCCACATATTTCCAGGCGACGGGGATGGGTGGCTGTGGGTCAAAACCAATGGGATCCCATTTTGGGGTAGGTGAATTCACCACCCGTTTTAGAACCTATTTTAGTGGGGATTTGAATGTTCACTGGGTGTACGGGCTTTTAACCCATGGCCGGGTGGCTGCAAGTCTTAGGGCACCTTGAGATCGGGGCAACTCATCGAACGTTTCCAGGTGGCGGAGCGTGGGGGGGGGGGGGGGGGTAGCGAGATCGCCAGGAGGACTTTATGAGGTCCTTGTTCTTGATACATGATTGTTCCTCCGTTGCTAGCCCGCGTGTTGTCTTCCTTTTGGAGTCTCCATGACCCTTACACGAAGGGTCATTGAAGGGGTCGTGGACCCATTCTTAAAGTGTCATGGAGACCCCAAGTAGTGATGATGCAAATTTAACGAGTTGGGCCGCGGCGTGCGAAGGATCATTAGACGCTGTCTACTGTTTGTCCGTAAAGCGTGCGTGCTCTTGGAGCTGCTTGACTCAAACATACTGTGGATGGACGAAATCCATTTTGCGCCACCTAAGAAACCCTGGAATGATACAATTCCCCCTGTACATACCAACAAAGAATGCTTTTCCATGGTGTCAAGTCGGCGCGAAATGGAGTTTGTCCATCCGCCATACTTGTCCTTTCTCATCTCACTTTGCTCGCTTTCACCAGGTGGATTAAAGAACAGTTAGAGTGAAGCTCGCCAAACATTTGAAGTGTATGTACCCATTAGACAAATATAATCTGCACATGAACGCTGTAGTCTGTAGTCACGAGAGGTAAATTACATAGTGAACGGGATGGTTGTTCATATCATGTTATAAGATGTCAGACTACTCGGTGTCCTAACCTTAATACATGTTCATACATCTGATAATACAAATGCTAATCAATATGACACGTCCTGCCATTGAAGGAATGTCCTGGGCAAGGAAAGCACAGCGTTGGAATGGGTTGCCCAATGCTGACTTGCCATGTTGTTGGGAATTTTCCCATATAGGCAAATAAACATTGATCATTGTTGAGTTAAAGCTTTGGTTTCTGTTGTGGGCATTTGCCTTTTCCTTATTTGATTATTCCCCCTTGATACAGCCACGCCTGCCCATTCTTTGCTCGGCTTCTTTGGAGCGCCCCGTTATTTCAACCTCGTTTTAGTTGTCAGGCCGGAGGTTGCGGTAGTTGCTTTGCTTGCTAGTTCGCGACGGAACGCAACTTAGAAACCCAGGCGCAATAAAACGTCAACCTGAACCCTCAACCTACCCATAAAGGGAATCTGCATCATAATCTTGAGTTGCAATAACCCATTGTTAAGTTGGAACTGTGACCCTGGGGTTCAACCCCCATTAAAAGAATGGTTGACCCATTTTGGATGATGAACATCCTTAGAAAAACAATGGTGGTTATATTAACCCGCATTGTTCCAATGGTGGTTTGAACCCTAGCCTTGATCTTACAGGACCCTGAAAAAGCAGGCCTTTGGCCGATTTTCTTTTTTCGACCAAGAGCAAACTCAAGAAGGGCCCTGTTTTTGCGGGTTTTTGCAAGACCAAGGTAGGGGTGAGGCTCCAACTTTTTGTTTTGAGGACGATATCCATCTGAACCGTCGCGGCTACGACCGGCTTTGGGAATACGCTCCTTTGCGCCAAGCCTTGGGCTGCGACGGCACGAGTCCGGACTCACCGGACAGCTCGCTGGTCTCCGACGCGACGGAGGCCGCGCGGTGTGATGTGCATTTTGGTGCTCAAAACAGTGGCCCCGTAAAATGGAGGGTGGGTGGGGGGGGGTCATTTTGGTGTCCCTTTTGAAAAAAAAAACGTGTTTTACTGAATGATGGGTGTCATGTTGGTTTCCTATTCACAAGCACAACTTTAGAAGGGGCTCACCATTTCGAGTTCGGAGCCATGAGAAGGGAAGCCTTGGGCCCAGTGACGTCCTTTGGGTTGGTTTTAAGTTTTAAGCGAAAGTCACCGGGCAAAGAACTTTTTCTTGCTTAGGGGGGGCCCCTAAAAAACAACACACACATTTAGGACAATTAAGGACCATTCAGGCTTCCTACTACTATATGTAGAGTGACTGGAAACATGATTGTCAAGGAAGCTTCTGCAAACTTAGCTTGCAGAGTGGATGAACGAAATTCTGCACCACCTAAGAGACCCTGGAATGATGATATTCTTGTCAATACAAAGAAACAATGATTTCAACCATGGTTGCATCAACCGTGGTGCGAAATGGATGTCGCAACCAGAGCAGTTTACCCGTTCAACCCTGGCCAAGACTTGGCCCATCTCTCGCAAGTCTGTCAGACCGGAAGGTACTTGTTGATTCGTTTTGTTTACTTCTCATGGCACCTTTTGTTGAGGGTATCCTCACTCCCACATTGTCATGGCACCTGACAGAGGGTCCATTGAAGAGGACAATTATCTTCCAGGTACCCTTCTACAGGTGCTATGTTAGTGGAAGGGAGGGTATCTTTGTTTTTTGGCTTTCAAAGGGAAACAACAAGGACACCCACTTGTTTTTTGTAGCGGGGGGAGGGGGGTCGCCCAAAAAAAACGACACACCCAAATGCATCCTCAACAGGTCTCTTATTTGCACATACCCGTGAGATGTCATCTCCAGACTTAGCTCCTGCTCGACTTGCCTTGTTGGTTCAACGGAAATCTATCACTAGTGGAAATAGTTCCTCATTTTCCAGGAGGTGAACAAGCAATTGGAAGCCATAGTGTCCCTTCCTAGCAAACAGTCAGGTGACCGTTAGGTGGTGGTTTGGATTGGTGGTTTGGGGAGTTGAACCCCGGGTTTTTGTGGAGGGTAAATGGGAATCACTCCTTGACCACCAATCCACCGGGCTCAAAGCCACCAACTACAAGGAAGCTGAGTGGACTTTTTGCAGTGGAATTAAATCTGACCAAGATCGAGCAAGGTATGTCTGCCTTGTCCCTACGGTTGCATGCTAGTGGAATGGAGGCTGTATCTTCCAAAATAGAATTGAGCAACCCCAAGAAGCTTCATCATGCTCATTTGGTGCAGAGCCAACTAATCTGTGTCAGAAACATGTAGATGTTACCAAACTTCTATCAAGTTAAACAAGGATCCAAAGAACATACCCCAAACTACCTATTTGTTTAAAGAGGACAAGAAAAAAAGGGCAACAACCCATTTTTGAGTTGGAGTTTTGAGGGTCCAGGTACTACTATGGGTCCCTTTTGCGAACACGAATAGTTTCCATGTGGCATCTGCTTTTACCCTATGGCTCCAAGTAGCCTGGGGTTCCCTTTGACGGGATCTCAGAGGCACGACGAGATATCAGTCGGTTTGAAGCCGTGTATTCATCAACAATTGAACAGGGCTCCTTAAAAGATACATTTTGCAACCATTTGAAGCATGTTGCTTTTTCAACACCAAAATACATGGAAATTACAATTTACAAGTTGCAAGGTCCAGGTGTTGTCATGCATCCGGATCCCTGTTGAATTGGAAGATGTGGGTGTGTCATTTTTCTGGTTGGACCTCGACGGACCGACCAATTGGCAAAATCAAAAACAAGATGGCTTCGGTTTCCTGGCGAAAAAGTCGAGAAAAGACAACCACCCAATGGGTAGCCTCAAAATCATGATAGTGAATTGGGGAGACCCGGAGACCCGCCAAACCATGGTTTCCTGTTGGTTTGCCTTAAAAACCACGGAACCCATGTCAGCTTCTTTTGTGCAGGTATGTTTTGTCTTCAAGTCAAACTCGATTTCATCATTATTGCATTCTCATTCTGAAGGACCATACTTGTCCGGCGTGGTTGCCCATGCGGTGAATTCATTGATGCAGCTGGGTTCCTCTGAATGCGATCTTCCGATGTTGACACTTGGAAACTGATGGCAAACTGATGGCAAACTGATGTCTAACCCCTGGGGTTCAACCCCAATACAAAAAATGGTTCACCCATTTTGGATGAACATCCTGAGGCAAAGGAATGTGCTTATACTAAGCCCCACTGGTTTAGTGGTGGTAAATGAACCCTTCGGTAGCATTGACCAAGGTCAGAGCTGTGTGGCTGCTGGTGATGCTTGCCTTCATGTCCGGATGGTGAGGGAAACGGACAGAGATCAATTGATCTTTGGTGCAAAGCACACAACAAAGGAGGGCCCAGAATCGATTACTGCTGGCCATCCGAGTAGGTGGTTCTACCTGTTCTGATATAGGTCGCAAGAAGTCTTGCATCAGCCAAAAAATGGTCGTTGCGCCCAAATTATGGGGTGAATTCTCTTCTGTGGGTAGTTTCAGGGTTCATGAACCTTCATAGCCACGTTGGTGGAAGCAAAAGTCAATGGCTTTTGGTCATTGCTCACGTCGTGCAGTGGGTTACTGATAATGAATCAATAGCAGCTCATTACACATGCGTTCCAAGAAAGTGACAGGACAGCACACGCTTCTGAAGATGTTTTTTACTCTTCTAGGGGCACCTTCCCCATTCTTTCCAGGGATCCTTCTGTACAGGAAACCATCAAAAACCCAAGGGAAACAGCCGGTTTTCGAAAAGAACGATGGTTGAAAATAATGGAGGAATCAACCCCTAGAATTTTACGATTTGAGTGAGCATCTATTGCCAAACTGAAGTCGTCCGGGTGTTCGTCACTCGTCGCGTCGCATCAAGCCTGTCGCCGAAGAGTGTGGGAAAATCGGCGGCAGACGCTTCACGTACACAGAGCTTGGGCCATCGTCACAATTAGATAACCAGACCCTAGGGTTCCTTGCCCTTTAAGAAAAGAATGGCAAGGACCCAAATTGGATGCTGACAATCCTTGCGTAAATCCAATTGATCCTGAACGGGTTCCTTGCTCCCATCAAAAGAATGGCCTTGGGACCCAATTTGGAGGACAATCCTGAACGGCAAATGGTGGTGAAACATGAACCCAGCCATTGTTTACCGGTGGCCTGCCTGAACCCCAGGAAAACGGGAAAGACAGACCGTTCTCCCCGTCAAAACTGGGAGGACCCCTTGAAGTGAGGCGTTTTGACTGTGCTGGAAGTCAGTTTTTGCTATGAGAGGTATACCCGGACCCTCAAAAAATCCAACTTCAACATGAGCTGTGGTCCCCAAAATTATGGTTGGTAAAAACCATTTTTGTTTGGGCAGTTTGAGGTTTCAGGTACGTGTTTTGTTTGGGAAGAGTACTCATGTTCCTCAGGAGCCTTGAGGTGTCCCTTTTGGATCCTCGTTTCTGAAGGATCTATCCCGCGGCCAAGCACCTTTGAGGCATGTACTCTATCCCAGCTGCCCAGTGGTTGTTCCTTGTTTTTCCTTTTTTTGGGAAGGGGTCCCTTTAAACTCAACCCAAAAAAAAGATGCCCCTTTTTTCCCCTGGCCACTGGGCGTCTGAGCTATGTACTTTTTACTCTCAACATCCATGAAAGCTGCTTGGACCGCTGCGGCAGTCGTTTCTATGGCGCCAAACTGATCACCAGTAACGTTGACCACGGATTCATAAACCCATCCTATAAGTAGGGAGCGGGGGGTGTTCCCTCCAAAGGTGATCGCCCCCACTTAAAGGAACCCCTCATCAATCACCCGAGGGTGCATTCATCCGAAATTTCCACCCTGTGAACAACAGCTTCCATATGGCTTCGTACCGAGGTACTCCCATCGGCCGTTCAAAAGGTGAGCAAAGGGGCCTCTCCAAGCTGACCTCCAGTGGTCTTCTCAGGGGTCGATTCCTATATTTCCCTTTTTGGGTGGTTTGAAACATCACCTTTTTGGCAACCATGAAAGGTGAGTATTCCTTGGTGGAGATGATGTTTTAAGGGGAAATATAGGGAGCCCTGTCCCTTGAGAAACAAGTTCAAAGAAGTGGTCTCCCCTAAAACTTTCTTACATCCTAGTATAGACTGAATATCGAAAGCAGTCAGTCTTCACTAATGTTTTGGGGATCTAATATTTGATACACTATAGATGTCTTTTCTCATCCTCAAAACATGTGGTTTTTCTGTACACCCCAAATGTGGACCAAGACAAGACCAACAACATGTCCCCATTGTTTCCCCAGTACCCACCGGGAGTCTGTGAAAACTATGAATCAACGGTCAATCTACCGACATCTAGCTGGACCCACCCAAATTCCCCAACTTAAAATTGGACTTATGGTTGGTGGCTGCTTCTATCCCCGCAGGGGGAACAGGGTGAGACTCCACTGGTCGTTTGCGAGGCTGATATTGGCCAGGGCCAGCTCCTTGACTTCCTGCTGGCAAGGAGTCGCCAGCTCGCTGGTGTGGAGCTCGCTTCACCCGCCAGCAGAAGATTGACACCTTTAGCACAGACCTGTGGCTCCAATCGACCTCGACGCGGACGCTGAGTTGCACGCCGTGGGCCACGGCTTGGGGGGAGAAGCAGCTCCAAGAAGACGCCAGTTGAAGCTCGCAACGCTGCCGAGAAAATCACTCAAGGAGTGATGACAATCCCCCTATCGCAAAAACTCGGGGGATTCAACTCCGTCACCACTCATGGTTGCCCCCTAATTTCTGACGCTAAGACGTCCCTAAAGGAGATCCTTCTAGTCTTGAGGAACTTCTCGACCACTTTGATTCATCCAGAGTTGACATTGCATAAGGATGTACCTGAAGTATCACGTTGGGGTCATTTGATACTCCTCGCAAGGTACCGACAAACCCGGAAAGGTATTACCTCCACTTGGCCCAAGTAGCGCACCTAACATGTTGTTTCAGCTTCTGCTACATATTGAGCAAACCGTACCTGGGCTGTTCCCCTTCGATCCCCTGAAAAGAGTTTAACTTTTGCAGGTTTAGTGGAAACTTCCGCTGCGCTCTAAAACCAAGACAAAAACTAAGGAACCGGACGGCTGGGAACCACCAAGGTAGTATTTTGTGTCTCTCGTCTTTTTGAGACCCCCCCCCCAAAAAAAAAGCGTGGTTTTCCTTATGCTTTCCTTAACACACCACAAAACGGGGTAAGCTCAAAAAAGACACCCATTCCGCAAATCGCTACAAAAATAGTGCGGGTGGAGGCCCCAGTCTACATTGTCCACACCGCAAGAATTTGGTGAGCCAGTCAATGGTGTTTTGGTGACTCCCCATATCCAATTGAATCAAGCACCTGGACCCTCTTTCCTTTTGGGTGGTTTTCAAGTGCACTTTTGGGGCTAACTTATGCTCAGTGTCCTTTCGCTGTTATCCCAGTCATTTGGTTGTGAGGTCTTATCTCAGAAATGGGAGTCGCTTGGATTGCTCCAAAGGGCAACCAATATCCGGTCACCTCTTGCTTGTTTGTGTTTTTTGCAGACACCACTGCTCAGTTGTTCAGTGGCTCCCTTTTTCCCGTTTTTGTTTAGTGGCTGCCCCACTAAAATGGTCTTCCCAAAAAAGGGTTCCCTTTTTTTCCAGGGTCACTGAACAACTGAGACTGACTGGGGAAGCTATGAGTGCATCCATCCGCGCGCAGCTCAAAACGTGCGAAGCCCATGTCGAAAGACACAGACGGAGCTCGGCAAATTTGCGAAGAGATCGGCCTGAAGGTTTCTTTCGTGTGATTTCCCTCGGCATTTTGGTGTGGCGCATGTGACTTGTTTTATGTGATTTCGGGTGGTTTCCGTGGCTTGCGAACTCGTGGCGAGTTCGCTGAGTAGGCCAACTCAAATTTCGACAATCCCAGCTTTGGAAGCTGACCCCACATGGAAACCAGAAATACTTTGGACTGGTGAGACTGGCCAAGCCTTGAGCGGCCTTGAGCGATGGGTGCGCGGCGCTCTCTGCCATTGTGCCTGCTGTGCGTGCTTTGCTTGCAGGGCCCTTAGCACGGGTATAGTACTTGGAAGGGAGCCGGGCAGTTGGAGTATCCAAATGTGCCTTCAAAGAGGGAGTGTCCTGTTCGTCCCCCCTTTCAGGCTTTCCCAGAAGGTTTTCCATTTGAAAAAAACTCTCTGCTGGAGAAGCATGAGATACAGGAAACTTAGCGTGGACTGGTGAAGGCAGGGACGGTCCCCCCTTGCAGACATGACAGCTGGCAGGAGGTTTTTGGAATACAGTCCTTTCGAAAAGTCCTTTCCACTTCCATGATCGTTGGAAATATTATTTTTTGCGATGGATGGACAAATTAATTTCGCTGCGCGTCAGTTCATCCTATGCATGTGGGTTTGGCTCAAACTAAAGAATCCACCAGAAGTGGTCGGTTTTTGTTGGGTATCCTTTTGGTTGCCCTTCAAACCAACAATTTGGCACCGCACGCCTGGTATGTCTGTTCCGCCAATTGAGGGAGCTGAAGGCGTTGGCCATGTGGGTTTTCGCCTTAGGGGGGTGTGGATGGTTGCGAAATCAATTTCGCACCACTTTGAAACCATGGCTGAAACCCATTGTTTGTTGGTATTTGCAGGGGAAGCACCATTCCAGGGTTTCTGAAAGGTGGTGCGAAATGGATTTCGTCCATCTACAGTATCACGTTCCATGTTTATTGGTAGGGTACCCTTTTTTTAGGTTGGTAATGCAAACATTCTCTGTTTGTTCATAGGGTGGCTTTTGGCCCCTACAAAAGTGGTCTGATTCCCCACATTTCACCCAGGACAGCCCCCCTACTAGCAAACTGGGGTTGATTAATACTGGGTCAGCAAAAAAAATGTTTTCAGGTTCCCCTAGCGTGCTGGTGCGATGGGAAGTGGAATGAGCCCGAAAAATAAACCATCCAACTGATAGTCCACTTGTTTATTCGTAGATTGAGGGTTCAGGCGCTTCCAAGTGCCTCCATCCAACTGGTGCTCCAACTTGTTTATAGGGTTCAGGCGCAAACCCCACTGCCTGGCGCGTTTTTTGTTTGTTTGTTTTTTGTTTGTGTTTGGTTATTTTATTGTTTTACAAATTACACCGGATTGACTGAGTGAATGCCCTCCAGACTCGACTTCCCACTGCCTGGCGCGTTTTGGTTTGTTGTTTAAGTCTCCGGACTCGATCGCCCTGACCCGAGGTGGCCCTGCGCCAAGACTCGGGCGAGCCCGCCGAACTTTGGTTGCGAGTATGGGATGTATTTGGACCCAAGGCCTTTCTGGAGCCGCAAGGGCTACCCAGCTTCACGGTTCTTGGCATGTTTTTTTGGTTTTTTAGTTGTTTGGTTCTGTTCATTTTTACTGGGTCTGCAAAAAGCAAGGTTTTTTGCTACCATACCAAGAGTAGCAATGCCACAAAAGAGTTGGAACTCACACCAATCATCAGTTTGGGGTTGCTTCTTACAAAACCGCTTAGGCCTAGGGCTTATGATGGGAGTTTTTTAACCCCCTGGACCCTCAAGCTAACAAAATCGAAAAGTTGAAGAATTCACCAATTCCATAAGTTTGGGTTTGCAATTTGCCCCATTTTAAGTTGGAATTTTGAGGGTTCGTCCAGGCAGGCCGATGAACCCCGACAGTTCTTGGAAACAACCACCTAGACCCTCAAACTACACATCAAAAGGGTGGAACTCACCGAATTCCGTGATCATTTTGGGGGCAAACAGTTTTTTAAAGTTGGATTTTCGTCCGGGCCAGGCACCCGGACCCTGAGGGTAGGGAAGTAGTTTCCCTGTGGCGAAACCCCGCCTGGCACTTTCCCTCCAAGTTGGGTCGCAGGTGGGAAGGCAAATTCGCTTTATCCAGCTGTCTCCTTCTGACCCCAAACAACAAGAGAGCGGGGGGACGGTGTTGTCTGACCAAACCGGCGCTGGGAACTAGGCGAAGACTCGATTTTGGAGTTAATACATGGAGCCTTTTGACAAGCATGGGTGCATGCTTTATTTTGGGCAAGGACCAACCATTTGTGTAAGGGTCATGCGACTCCAGTCAGAGGTGTTTTGGGAGGTCAAACCAATGTGCTGGAGAGTCATACCTGGTCCCTCAAACAAAAGCTCAAACCTGGGGTTTTTGCTACCCAATATGATGGTTGGTGAATTCCACCTGTTTATGGGTAGTTCATTCGGGTTCAGGTAGTGATCCTCGTGGAAACTGGTAGCGTTGGGTCCCTTTGCCTTGGGCGTACATGAGATGTCGCATGTTTTCAGTCAATTTCAGTCATGTCAGGTGGACTCCGACATGCTGGAATCATGTGGTGTTTTCGTGAAAGTTCTTGCGGAGCTACTTTGGTAAAACAGATATGTTGTTATTCAAAGCGGGGAGTTGCACATGAAGAGAGTCTGATCGTCGCCAGCCATTTGGGCCGCAGAGTAAGAAGACGCCGGAATCAAGCACGACGACATATTTTGGGTGCACCATTGCTTGACCTTGCCCAGTACAAACATGCCTTAAGAGACCAGGCCAGGGAAGCCTTGTGACATGATGACGAACATTCTGGACCTTTCGGCTTGAGTTCTAATTCTGCTCGACTTCTTTGGGATCCGCATTTCATGAAGCCCGAAGTATAGGTGCTGAACAGGTTAAGACTTGTCAGCACCAATGGCATGCTCTCAGAAATATGGGGACTTCAGGAAATGTTTGCATGTTTCGCCCAAAAAAAAGCGGTCCCCGAGCCCGAACCACTACCCCCGCCCCCCCCGCATCGTCATACCCAAACCGTGGAAATAAAAGTTGCGCTACCGAGGAGTGTCATGCCCAATGAAGTATTGGTAGTTTGGGATAAGGGAGCTCATGCTTTTGTTCTTATTCAGTACTTTGGTTTGAAGTAGTGCCAGGGGCAATCGAACAGTGGAATTCTTCCAAGTAGTATTCGACGATGTTGTTTCATACTTCTACCCTGAAGAGTACAAGCTATAGAATAATTTCAGTCGAGTTTATGCAGTAAAAGGCACCTCCCTCAAGCTTCCAACTTGAAAAAGCGGGTTACTTCCCACTTGGGGTGATTTCCTTTTTTTTGGGCAACTTGAGGGTTCAGGGAGCCGCAAGCTTCGGCCGCGGAATCGCCATGCGCGCGGCGCCCTATGAGCGGGTGCCGGTGAATCAGCTGGCCAAGACCAAGCTCTGCGCCCACTTTCTGAACGGCCGGTGCTTGCAGCTGGGACCAAAAAGGAAATAAGCTTAGGTGATATCCCCAACAGCATGCGGTGCTCTTTTTAGTGCTCGCACCACCCCGCACCCCTCGCAGAACCTCGTGGAACCCGGTGGAACCTTACCTCAGGGCCGCCCCGGACCACCCCGGAGCCTATCTGCGACCCCAAAGCCTTCAGCTGTTGAGGAAAAAACAAAACGGGCGAGCCAAGGGAAACGGGGTTTATTCCTGGTCCCAACCAAAGTTCCAACTTACAACGTGGTTCATGTTTAGGGTGAATGTCCCTTTTTTTATAACGGGTAGTTTGAAGGCTCAGGTACTTGATTTGGTTCTTTTTCAGATGCTGGATGTGTGTTTTGCTCTCCGATGTTGTTGGATGTTTTTAGGTTTGTACTTTTTTGGTTCTGTCCATTTTGGGCGGGCCGGCAACACAGTCTGTTTTTTGCTTTTGACGGAGCCCAAATACGGCAAGCCCTGAAATGTCTGAAAAAAACACCTTACTTCTTGACTGCTTTTGGGTTGGATCTTTAGACTTAAACTGTGTAAACTTTTTTTGCGAAATCAAGATGGGTTTTCCACCAAACCCACAAAAAGTTTGAAACACCTGTTGCAGAGGGATCAGCAGCAACCACAATCTTGGGCTCCCCCCACCATCCCACCCAGCCCCCCCCCCCCCACCATCCCACCCAGCCCCCCCCCCCCCCACCATCCCCCTCCCCCCTCCCTCCCCCCCCCAACCGCCCGGCCACCGCCGCCCTCGCGGGACCCGCGTTCTTTGCCGCCAGGAAGGGCCAGGACTGCAACTACGCCCACGGCGCACAGGAGCTCAGCGGAGAAGGTCTCGGTCTCGGCGGCGCGGCGGCTTCCATTTGCTTTATTTTTTTAGAAAACTAGTCTGTTTTTTGTTGTGTGTGTGATTGTTTTTTTCCCCATGTTGGTTTTAAAGGGCATCTATCACTGGAAATATGTTGTTTGGATCGGAAAAGCCACCAATCCAAACATTAAGCTGAGCTTTGGGGTCTCTGCCGAAATAAGCTCTGGAGCGCTTCCAGCTACTTTCAGGGGCTCAGATGCCCAGTGGATTTCCGTGGGAAGAAAATAATCGGCATCCTTTCTTGGTTGGTTGACTTCAACGGACTCGGAACCGGTTGAAAAAAGGAAGCAACCAACTGGTTGCAACTGGGAGTTAGTATTGCTCAGCCGAGTGCCCGTTTCGCCCATTGATTGTTGAACAACCTCTCTCACACCAAGCACCAGAACCACCAATGATAAAATGGCAAATGGTTTCTAGCCCTGAACCCTACTATATACCCATCAAACAAGTTCACACTCTTGGGTTGCAATAACAAATTTTCACAATGGAAATTTCGGAGTCCAGGCGGAAAAGCTTTAGCTACAATCCCCTGTCAGGGTTTCAGTCATCATGCATTGGGGGTCTTCCTTGCCAAGTTAGGAAGTGGTTAGCCACCCCACTAATAACAAGGTTAACTCCACTTATCGGGGACATGTAAGTGGGTTATAGTCTAGGTTGCCAACAGCATGTAAGTGGAAAATAGGTTTATACCTTCAAAACTACCTGGAAAGCCCTTGAAGGTTGGTGCCCATCTTGACTCCCCTGCAGAACGGAAGGATCCCAGACAAAGGGATCTGGAGGAGTATATTGCAAGTAGCGGAACAAGGGAAACTCCGACATCTCACACGCAATTTGCAAGGTGTGATTGATGTTGGCGATTCACACCGCTTTGTGTTGCACACAATGACCAGATTTTGGCTGACCTGCAATTGCTGGTAAACACTACCTGGACCCTCAAATATGTCATGAACATGGGTGTTTGCCCTATACACGTATGGGGTGAATTACCTTTTTATGGGCAGTTTGAGGTTCCAGGCACTTTGTCTTGCGTCGGCGCTTTGTTTCGTGTTTCTTCGGGCCAAATCAGCCTGTCGCCACAGCATGCTACTGGCGCGCGCACGATCGAGTGCTCCCCGATCCCAACTGCAAGCCAAACGATAAGTTCACGGACACTTCGTGAAAGTCATTGTGCTGCCTGAACAAAACACATTTGCCCCAACTTCTGACGTCTTCTTGATCAAGTGCCGTCAATCTAGTTCCGGAAGCAATGGTTTGTCATGCAAAACTAGTGGCTCATGTAGTATGACAGCGTTGGTACATGACTTGTCTAAACTGCACAGTGTGCTTGTTTTGAAAGGATCCATTGGGGAAGTTGCTTTGTTGCGCGGGGGATTTGGGAGGGATTCTGGGGTCCATGATTGAACCACCTTCTACATCAGCCAGGTTCACCTCAACAGTCCCCGCCCAAACAGGGCTCCTTAAAAGATACATTTTGCAACCATTTGAAACATGGCTTCTTCCAGCAAAATAAAAGGGAAACCACCATTTACAAGTTGCAATGTTCAGGTGTATAATGTAAGGATTGCTTATTTGCCTGGCAGACCTTGTGCACAAGTGTGGCATGCCTTTGAGAGGAACAAGAATTGAGTTGTAGTCTATGGGACATTTCTTTCCCAGTTGCAACCAGTGGGTTGCTTCCCTTTTTCCCCCTTTTTGGGGAAGGCTTCCCTTTAAGCCTCTATAAAACATTTGTTTCCCAGTTCCAACCAGTCATTTCTTGCCTTTCTCCCCCTTTTTTGGGGAAGGGTTCCCTTTAAACTCAAGCGACCAAAACAAAGTTGATGCCGATCCCTTTTTTCTTCTTTCTGGAAATCCACTGGGCAGAGGTTTTGCGGGGGGCCATGAGCCAGGTGGGTGTTTTGGGCGAAGCAAACGTCGCAAGGGTTCTAGGGGCACCGGCGCCATTTCCATTCTGAACCCGGGGATCCCGTTTTTCTGTTCAGGAAGCCATCAAAAACCCAGGGCTTTCCAGGATCCGGCGTTTGAACAGAGCGATGGTTAAAAAGAATGGAAAAGGAATCACCCCCTAGAATGGTTCCCGACAAACCACCGACCCCTCCCCACGCCAATATGCCGGGGGTGGGTGGTTGGGTGCAGGCTCCTTGAAGGCTCTTAAATTGTTTGGAATTCCTTGAATTGGTTCATGGGGGGTCTTGGGGACGTCCCTGGTATCCCAGCTCGCCCTCAACCCTTGACACTTTCTTTCGGGCTTGTCTTCTTCTCGTGGTTTGTATTTGTTGTTTGCCTGATCCCTCAAACTACCCAGGAGGAAAAACAAAAAAAAAACGAGAAACGGCAAACATAAATTCACATATGTTTGGGGCGATTGTCCATTGTTTAAGGGACACTTTTCAGGGTCCAGCTGTAAGCTTCCTGCAGCTGCAGAACCCGGTTGGGTGGTCCATTGCCGAGTTCCTTGCACGGGAAGGCTGTGGCAACCAACAGGTTCAGACGCAAATGTATGGAAGTGACACCAATGCAAGTTAGATCTGAGTGGCTCCCAGACATAGCTTTTTAGCCTTTTAGTGTTTAGTGGTTTCCATATAAACCACTAAAAGTTAAACTTTTAGCGGTGGATCTGAGGGCAGCCCAGAAGTGACACCCATGCAAGTTAGATGGTCTACTCTTTTGGCAAGAGGGGTCATCCAATCTTGTGGATGGACGGAATCCATTTCGCACCACTGTGAAGCCATGGTTGCAACCATTACTTGTCGGTATTGATGTTGGGGAATCGAAGCATTTCAGGGATGCGAAATGGATTTCGCAATCATCCACAGTAGGATGCTATTGGACCTTAAATGTGTCCCTTTGACCCCCAAAGACCTAACAAGGACGGATCTTGGGACCCTCAGAAAAGTTTCGTTGAGGGGTTTCCACCCCCCTCATTTAAATTTGTCCGTTGCTTACATCCGAAAGAGGTCCAGTTCTTGCAACCGAGGCGGTCAGCTTTGGAAGACCAAGATGTGCACCCACTTCCTGCAGGGCCATTGCACCGCGCCCAAAAGCCCGGCTCGCACTTGCTTATATGCATTTGCGCGCGTGCGCACGCGGGTGTGCGTTTGTGTGTGTGTGCGGTGTTTTTGTTGAGGGTTGGTTCCTGTGCTTTGTGTTTGACTGTTTTGGTATGGTATTTGCTTGTTTTAGTTCCTGTAGCTGACTTTCGCTGATCGGGTGCACGGATTCTTTGGTCTTGCGTATCTTAATTTGTTTGTGGTGTTGATGTTTGGTTGTTTTCTTTTTGGGGCCGGGTTCTTTCGTGGTGATGTTGTTTGTCTTGTTTTGGCAGGATGGCTCTGTTTGTTCTTGTGTTTTTGTCGATGGATCCAATGTCCACCAGGTTCCAGGGTTCCATATTTACCGTTTAGATGTGGCGGTCACAAGCGGTGTTTCTCCCTACAAACCAGTGCCCCCAAATTCTTCAAGAAGCCCCCCCCGAAACGATTGAGGGGCAAGCCTGTACGTCATGACAAGTTTCTCCAAAACCGAAAGGCCTTTGGTTTGCCGCAATCGGTGAATCGAGTGGACAGTTGAATAACAACGTGGTAACCTGGCGGTTCTGTCTAGGGTAACTCCCGCTTCGTGGACTTGTCAACAAGCAACTAAGGACAGTATCCACACGCAAAATAGAGCGGGCATGCACACAGACCATGTTTACTTTGGTGCATTTTGCTTGGATGTTAGGACTTTAACTTTTTGCCAATTAATGGGTTTTCCATTAAGCCACTAATAGTTAAGCTTTTAGCAGGGGAGCAGAAAGCAACCGAGTTTATGCCGAGTTCTCCTTTCAGTGAAATGCCAAGTGAGATTGGCATCCCTGCTGCAGAGTTTGCAGTTGGATTCCGAGCCGGCTCGCAGAAAATGGTAAGAAACAAGTGCAGTTTTCCACAGCCCTTACACAAGGCCCTAGCTCAGGCAACCCTTAACTTGATGGTTCCCAGCCATCCAGATCCTTAGCTTTTTAGCTTGTTAGGGTGTAGGTGTACTGGTCGGGTTTCCATTCAACCCAGAGGTTAAACTTTTAGCAGGGGATCTGAGGGCAGTCCAGGAAATTGGTGGTTCGGATTGCTTGGAAGTTTGAGCACCTGGTTCTTGTAGAGGGTAAGTGGAAACCGGCCCGGAACACCTCTGGGCCACACTCCGGGGCACCCGAAAATGAGGGAAGCTGACTAGCTGGAGCCTCAAAATTCCCTTGAAGACGGTTGTTGCAACTCAAAGTTATGTGTGGATTCCCTTTATAGGGGTACCTGGAGTCTCAATGATCCTTAAATGGGGTCATTCCACAACGCAGTGTTTAAAGGGTCAGCAAGAGACTCCAGGTAGTTTGAGGACCCAGGTAGCTGTATTCAGGGATTCCGCCCCGAAACTTTGCCTGTCCGAGCGGTCGAGATGCCAATGAGCTCCCCAGAAAAACTTCTTTTCTTCCACCATGGGACATGTCAGAACTTGTTGGACTGGGTAACTAGCCTCCTCCATCTGCGAATACCTGGAGAAGATAGAAACATCTGTCCAGTAGATAGATTCCTTTAAAGTTTCATGGGACAAAATAACACATGTTTTTGAGCAAATGAAGTTTAGGGTAGTGTACTATACAGTGGATCCACTTGGCAACTTAAAAAGGGCACCAAACTTTTGTTTAGGTCACTTTTCACTTGAGCCCATTGATTTCTTCTTGGCAACTTGGTAGCGGATCTGTTTAAGTTTTTGGTTGAAGCTTTGTGGATTGCCGTATTGCACCCACACAAAGTGATTCATTTTTTGCAGAGGGGCCGTTACAACAACCAAGTACCTGGACCCTCAAACTACCTAAAAAAAGGGATTCGTCATTTTTGGAACAATACCCCATTTGTAAGTTGGACATTTGAGGGGCCAGGAGAATCTGAAGAGATGACGTTCTGTATCTCAGATGGCCATTCGAATTCTGAGGCAAAAAGGGCTTGGACTGCAACTTCGCCCACAGCCAGAACGAGCTCGCTCCCCACGCGGACTTTTCCTTTGGAGGAATCCTCGACCTGAAATCTCAGTTGTGCGAGCCACCCAAAAAATCGCGTAACACTTCTCCGTTCTTGGTCCTCGTAAACTTTCCTGTTGTTGATGTACCTGAACCTGAAAGAACTACCCACAAAAAGAGGGCAGTAACCAATTTTAATGTTGGAATCTTGAGGGTCCAGGTATGTGTTTCGTTCTTGCCATGGTGCGGTTGTTTTCAAGGGAATCGATCTCTCCACTGGAAATATGAAAACGGGACAGCAAAGGGAAGTAACCAACAGGACCACTTAGCTAGAGTCTTCGGAGCCCAAGACTCCAAATGTGTCTCTTCGGGTGCCCCGCGTTGTTGGCTTCCAAGGGAAACCAACTTGAGAGCCATGCTGAGTGTCAGCCCGCCATTTTGACTCGGACATATCTTTCGACCCTGTAAGGACTTGGGCCTTGGGTTTCTGGGTTCTTGTTGTCCCCAATCTTGGGGTTGCTTTAAAGGGAAACCAACAGGAAACCACCCATTGAAGGAAGTCCGAGGTTGACACGAATCCTAGTTGAAAAAGGGACTTGGAGCGACCTCCCGCGACTTGGCAAGGAAATGTGGGTGGCATGGTGAAAGGAGCGTCGCAGCTTCCAAAGGACAGGTTGGGTGTTGGGGCGTACTCGGGTGTTTGGGAAGGCCTGGCAGTATCCTTTTTAGCCTTCCTGAACCCTCAAACCCTTAAAACCAGGGGCAATCACCAACCATAAACTTTGAGTTGCAATAGTGCCCGTTTTTGAGTTGCAATTTTGCCGGTCCGGGCTCTGCCTTTTTGGTATATAATGACTCCCTCATATTGTGTTGTTGCATTCCTTCCTGTGCCCTGTCCGTTTGTCACAAGGTCAACCTGTTGCAAGAGGTCCAAGTGTGGCCAAAGCTTTAGATATATTTGGTGCATGTTGCTTGGATGTTGGGACTTTAACTTTTTGCTAATTAATGGGTTTTCCATTAAACCACTAAAAGTTATTCACTTTTAGCAGGGGAGCAGAAAGCAACCAATATATTTTTGGGTAGGTTCCTTTCTCTTTGAAACGAGACACCAACAGCACGGGTGGCCTTAGTGGGCGAGTTCTCACTTGTGCCACCATATTGTTTCGCTACAAATGGGAATGAAACTCGTCAAATATCCTTGCAGCAAAATTTTGGAAATGGATAATTCTTCTGGGGCCTGGGGCGGAAGCCGTGAAATGGATAATTCTTCTGGGGCCTGGGGCGGAAGCCAAATAAGGCCTCAAGAGGAGCTAATTCAGGCTCCCCCCCTCTCCCCTCCCTCTCGCCCAGGCCCCCTGATTAGAGAGAGAGGGGGGGGCAAAACTGGCTCGGTTGGTTTCCCCTTGGTTGCCCTTTTTAACCACAACATAATGGTTACCCTAAAAGATGGATGTTGCCCCTTCCTCAAAACAACAAATAGGTTTCCCCTTGGTTTACAAAATAATGTGTACCCCAACAGCTTGACGTTGCCCCAAATGTCCGGCCCAAAGCACTCTTCAGTTGGAGTTTTGGTGCCAATAGTCCCCGGGTTTTGGTGTTTGTCTTGGTGTTTTGGTGTTTGACGTTGACGTTTGGTTTTTGTTTTGGAGGTGTTGGGTGCCAAAAACACCGGGGTTTTGGCGTTTGACGTTGTGGTTCTGGGTCGCTGAACGAAAAAACCGCTGGATTTGTTCGGGTCGGCCCGGGCCGTGGGTCCCAGGAGGCCTTGGCCAAGACCAAGCTGTGCACTCACTTCCTGTCGTCGGGCGCCTGCTCGAAGGGTACCTCGGAGATTTCGCTGGGGTTTGCATGGACCCAAACAAGATTCCAGCTTAGCCAATGGTTGGTTGCCCCACATTGATGGGGGAATTCCTGGTTGTGTTTGTTTTTTTGCTTTATGGGTAGGTGGGCTCTTTGCCCCGCATTGATGGGGAAGTTCCTGTTTGTTTGGTTTTTGCTTTATGGGTAGTTATTGAGACATTTCATGTGGGTTGCCTGGACCCAAACAAATTCCCACTTAGTGGACTTAAAGATTGGTTCTTGCTCAAAAGAAATGGTAACCAAAACGTTCCCGTTTTTTTTTTTTCTTTCTTTTTTTTTCTGTGTGTGTGTTTTTGCTTTATGGGTAGTTGTTGAGGGTGCAGGCAGCTATAAGTTTTTGGGGTCGATAGGCCGAGTGGCGTATAGTAGATCGCCAACTATAGTTTCCATTTTTTTTAAATATCGGGTGGCAATGCCTTGGTTACCACAAAACCAGGCAGTTTAAAATGATCCCTGGGCCAGATAGGCTTTGGGGTGGTTGGAGCCGAAAGAAGGAGTTCCAAAGGTTCCAGGGGTTTCAGGGCTGGGGACACCTTCCGGGCTTCTAGGCTCAGTACCCTTTCCACCTCGTTTTGTCTGAGATCAAAAGAAGAAGTGCGATCCATTTCGGAGGGTGCCAAGAAAAGTGTTCGGGGCCGACATGAATCGCTGGTTGATGAATTCATCCTGTTTGTTCTCATGTGGATATTGGAAGGGAGTCAAGGAGCTGGGTGCCAACTGTTTGCCTATAAACTTCACCAGAAGTAGCTCCCCTTTTTGCTTTTTTGCTTTTTCGGGGTTTCCTTTGTTTTCCACTAACCAGGCAAAAAAATATATTTTTTTGCTGGGGTCCTAATTCCAGCCAAGTAAATAGGGAGCCTTTTATGAGCTATCAGGAGTTGGCGGGATCGGATCAGTGAGCCACAAGAGTTCAGAAAAGAAGGACAGTTGAGTCACAATCAAAACCAGGCGAAATCCATTTCGCACCACTTGGAAACCATGCGAAACCATTGTTTGTTGGTATCCGGGAATCATCATTCCAGGGTGTTTTAGGAGGTAAGTGAAGGTTAGCAAGGGACGATCCCAGCCAGAAATCGCTGCGGATCTCCGCCTTCTTAGTTCTTGAAGCCTGGTTCTGGGTCGACCATTTTTGTACCGGGTTTTGATTGTGACTCAGTTGGCTTTTTGAGCGCCCCAATCCCCATGGTCCTCATGACCGCTCAGTCAACTTAAGCGGTGAAAACAAAAAGCCAGCACAATTCGCGCCTGAGCGTTGGCCTCAGCACAAGGGGTAGCATATCCCAATCCCCACCACGGAATGCGGGGGGGTTCCCTTTAAAATTCCATTGCCTCCAGCTTCCCATGTGGGTCTGGCTGAAAATTCAAGAGCTGCGGCAAACCTCAGGTTTTAGTTGGTTCCATTTACCAAGCTTCCATTTTGGGCTCCTTTTTTTTGAGCCACAGCCATGGAACCCAACCGCCCCGCCCCGTTTTGGGCCATTCAGGTTCCGTTTTTTCGTTGATTCTCAGGTTTTAAGTCGTTGGTTCCATTTACCAAGGTTCCGTTTTTTCGTACATTCTTTTGAGCAGCCCTTTGTGGGAAGAAGAAGACGAGAAGCACGCGCCAGGCACCTACTGCAACTTCGCCCACAGCGCGTTGGAGCTCCGCGGCTCGGCGCCGGTGCCTCCAACGCCGACGCCGGTGAAGTCGCAGAAGCTGCCTGCGGCCTTCGCGCCGATGCGAAAGGGGGGGAAAGGACCGGGAGAGGCGAAGTTCGAGTCCTGAGCCCTCAAACTATACCCATAGAAACGATCTTTTCACCAACCATATTTTAACGCCTCCGGCTCAGGCCGCCGACATTACAGGCCTGCTTTCTTATTTGCGTCCCTTTGGAATTGTCCCCTTGCCCCCTTCCCCTCTGAGATTTTTGCCCCCCTTTCTTTGTTGAGATCCATTCCCCCTTTCCGCCCTAAGGCCTTTTCTCCCTCTGTTTTTTTCCCTTTTCCTCCCTAAGATGTTTTCACCCCTCTCCCTGTTGAGATCCTTTCCCCCCTTTCCCCCCTAAGGCCTTTTCCCCCCTGAGATCTTCTCCCTTTTCCTCCCTTTCCCCCACTTTCCCCCCTACGGCCTTTTCCTCCCTGGGATCTTTTTCCTTTCCTCCCTGAGATCTTTCCCCCCCTTTCCCTGTTGAGATCCTTTCCCCCCTTTCCCCCCTACGGCCTTTCCCCCCGCTGAGATCTTCTCCCTATTCCTCCTTAAGATCCTTTGCCCCCTTTCCCTGTTGAGATCCTTTCCCCCCTTCCCTTTAAGGCCTTTCCAGATCTTCTCCCTTTTCCTTCCTAAGATTGTTTCCCCCCTTTCCCTGTTGAGATCCTTCCCACCCTTTCCCCCCTCAGGCCTTTCCCCCCCCTGAGAGCTTCTCCCTTTTCCTTCCTTAGATCTTTCCCCCCTTTCCCTGTTGGCCTTTTTTCCCCCAGATCTTCTCCCTTTCCTCCCTAAGATCTTTTCCACCCCTTTCCCTGTTGAGATCATTTCTCCCCTTTCCCCCCTACGGCCTTTGCCCCCAGATCTTCTCCCTTTCCTCCCTAAGATCTTTCCCCCCCTTTCCCTGCTCAGATCCTTTCCCCCCTTTCCCCCCTAAGGCCTTTCCCCCCCTGAGATCTTCTCTTTTCCTCCCTAAGATCTTTTGCCACCTTTCCCTGTTGAGATCCATTCCCCCTTTCCCCCCTAAGGCCCTTTCTCCCTCTGAGTTTTTCCCTTTTCCTCCCTACGATGTTTTCCCCCCTCTCCCTGTTGAGATCCTTTCCCTCCTTTCCCCCCTAAGGCCTTTTTTCCCCCCGCGATCTTCCCCCTTTTCCTTCCTAAGATCTTTTCCCCCCTTTCCTTGTTGAGATCCTTTCCCGCCCTTTCCCCCCTAAGGCGTTTTCCCCCCCAAGATCTTCTCCCTTTTCCTTTCTAAGATCCTTTGCCCCCTTTCCCTGTTGAGGTCCTTTCCCCTCTTTCCCCCCTAAGGCCTTTCTCTTCCTTGTCCTCCCCAAGATCTTTTCCCTTGGTTGAGATCCTTTCCCCCTTTCCCCCCAAGATCTTCTCCCTTTTCCTCCCTAGGATCCTCTCCCACCTTTCCCTGTTGAGCTCCTTTCCCCCTTTTCCCCCTAAGGCCTTTTCAGATCTTCTCCCTTTTCCTCCCGAAGATCCTTTGCCCCCTTTCCCTGTTGAGATCCTTTCCCCCTTTCCCCCCTAAGGCCTTTTCCCTGCCTGGGATCTTCTCCCTTTCCTCACTGAGATCTTTCCCCCCCTTTCCCTGTTGAGATCCTTTCCCTCCTTTCCTTCCTAAGGCCTTTCCCCCCGCTGAGATCTTCTCCCTACTCCTCCTTAAGATCCTTTGCCTCCTTTCCCCGTTGAGATCCTTTCCCTTCTTCCCTTTAAGGCCTTTCCAGATCTTTTCCCTTTTCCTTCCTAAGATTGTTTCCCCCCTGTCCCTGTTGAGATCCTTCCCACCCTTTCCCGCCTAAGGCCTTTCCCCCCTGAGAGCTTCTCCCTTTTCCTTCCTTAGATCTTTCCCCCCTTTCCCTGTTGGCCTTTTTTCCCCCAGATCTTCTCCCTTTCCTCCCTAAGATCTTTTCCACCCCTTCCCTGTTGAGATCATTTCTCCCCTTTCCCCTCTAAGGCCTTTGTCCCCAGATCTTCTCCCTTTCCTCCCTAAGATCTTTCCCCCCCCCCTTTCCCCCTGCTGTCCCTTTTCCTTCCGAAGATCTTTTCCCCCCTTTCCCTGTTAGGCTTTCCCCCCTAAGTCCTTTTCTCCCAGATCGTCTCCCTTTCCTCCCTAAGATCTTCCCCCCCCTTTCCTCCTTAAGATCTTTCCCACCCTTTCCCTGTTGAGATCCTTTCCCCCCTTTCCCTCCCAAGGCCTTTCCCCCCCCTGAGAGCTTCTCCCTTTTCCTTCCTAAGATCTTTTCCCCCCTTTCCCTGTTGGGCTTTCCCCCCTAAGTCCTTTTCTCCCAGATCTTCTCCCTTTCCTCCCTAAGATCTTCCCCCCCCTTTCCTTCCTAAGATTGTTTCCCCCTTTCCCTGTTGAGATCCTTCCCACCCTTTCCCCCTGAGGCCTTTCCCCCCTGAGAGCTTCTCCTTCCTTAGATCTTTCCCCCCTGTCCCTGTTGGCCTTTTTTCCCCCAGATCTTCTCCCTTTCCTCCCTAAGATCTTTTCCACCCCTTTCCCTGTTGAGATCATTTCTCCCCTTTCCCCCCTAAGGCCTTTGCCCCCAGATCTTCTCCCTTTCCTCCCTAAGATCTTTCCCCCCCTTTCCCTGCTCAGATCCTTTCCCCCCTTTCCCCCCTAAGGCCTTTCCCCCCCTGAGATCTTCTCCCTTTTCCTCCCTAAGATCTTTTGCCATTTTTCCCTGTTGAGGTCCATTCCCCCTTTCCCCCCTAAGGCCCTTTCTCCCTCTGAGTTTTTCCCTTTTCCTCCCTACGATGTTTTCCCCCCTCTCCCTGTTGAGATCCTTTCCCTCCTTTTTCCCTAAGGCCTTTTTTCCCCCGCGATCTTCCCCCTTTTCCTTCCTAAGATCTTTTCCCCCCTTTCCTTGTTGAGATCCTTTCCCGCCCTTTCCCCCCTAAGGCGTTTTCCCCCCCAAGATCTTCTCCCTTTTCCTCCCTAAGATCCTTTGCCCCCTTTCCCTGTTGAGATCCTTTCCCCTTTTCCCCCCTAAGGCCTTTCCCCCCCTGAGATCTTCTCCCTTGTCCTCCCCAAGATCTTTTCCCTTGGTTGAGATCCTTTCCCCCTTTCCCCCCGAGATCTTCTCCCTTTTCCTCCCTAGGATCTTCTCCCACCTTTCCCTGTTGAGCTCCTTTCCCCCTTTTCCCCCTAAGGCCTTTTCAGATCTTCTCCCTTTTCCTCCCTAAGATCCTTTGCCCCCTTTCCCTGTTGAGATCATTTCTCCCCTTTCCCCCCTACGGCCTTTGCCCCCAGATCTTCTCCTCCCTAAGATCTTTCCCCCCCTTTCCCTGCTCAGATCCTTTCCCCCCTTTCCCCCCTAAGGCCTTTCCCCCCCTGAGATCTTCTCCCTTTTCCTCCCTAAGATCTTTTGCCACCTTTCCCTGTTGAGATCCATTCCCCCTTTCCCCCCTAAGGCCCTTTCTCCCTCTGAGTTTTTCCCTTTTCCTCCCTACGATGTTTTCCCCCCTCTCCCTGTTGAGATCCTTTCCCTCCTTTCCCCCCTAAGGCCTTTTTTCCCCCCGCGATCTTCCCCCTTTTCCTTCCTAAGATCTTTTCCCCCCTTTCCTTGTTGAGATCCTTTCCCGCCCTTTCCCCCCTAAGGCGTTTTCCCCCCCAAGATCTTCTCCCTTTTCCTCCCTAAGATCCTTTGCCCCCTTTCCCTGTTGAGGTCCTTTCCCCTCTTTCCCCCCTAAGGCCTTTCCCCCCCTGAGATCTTCTCCCTCCCCAAGATCTTTTCCCTTGGTTGAGATCCTTTCCCCCTTTCCCCCCAAGATCTTCTCCCTTTTCCTCCCTAGGATCCTCTCCCACCTTTCCCTGTTGAGCTCCTTTCCCCCTTTTCCCCCTAAGGCCTTTTCAGATCTTCTCCCTTTTCCTCCCGAAGATCCTTTGCCCCCTTTCCCTGTTGAGATCCTTTCCCCCTTTCCCCCCTAAGGCCTTTTCCCTGCCTGGGATCTTCTCCCTTTCCTCACTGAGATCTTTCCCCCCCTTTCCCTGTTGAGATCCTTTCCCTCCTTTCCTTCCTAAGGCCTTTGCCCCCGCTGAGATCTTCTCCCTACTCCTCCTTAAGATCCTTTGCCTCCTTTCCCCGTTGAGATCCTTTCCCTTCTTCCCTTTAAGGCCTTTCCAGATCTTTTCCCTTTTCCTTCCTAAGATTGTTTCCCCCCTTTCCCTGTTGAGATCCTTCCCACCCTTTCCCGCCTAAGGCCTTTCCCCCCTGAGAGCTTCTCCCTTTTCCTTCCTTAGATCTTTCCCCCCTTTCCCTGTTGGCCTTTTTTCCCCCAGATCTTCTCCCTTTCCTCCCTAAGATCTTTTCCACCCCTTCCCTGTTGAGATCATTTCTCCCCTTTCCCCTCTAAGGCCTTTGTCCCCAGATCTTCTCCCTTTCCTCCCTAAGATCTTTCCCCCCCGCCCCTTTCCCTGCTGAGATCCCTTTCCCCCTTTCCCTGTAAGGCTTTTCCCCCCCCTGAGAGCTTCTCCCTTTTCCTTCCGAAGATCTTGTCCCCCCTTTCCCTGTTAGGCTTTCCCCCCTAAGTCCTTTTCTCCCAGATCGTCTCCCTTTCCTCCCTAAGATCTTCCCCCCCCTTTCCTCCTTAAGATCTTTCCCACCCTTTCCCTGTTGAGATCCTTTCCCCCCTTTCCCTCCCAAGGCCTTTCCCCCCCCTGAGAGCTTCTCCCTGTTCCTTCCTAAGATCTTTTCCCCCCTTTCCCTGTTGGGCTTCCCCCCCTAAGTCCTTTTCTCCCAGATCTTCTCCCTTTCCTCCCTAAGATCTTCCCCCCCCCTTTCCTTCCTAAGATTGTTTTTCCCCTTTCCCTGTTGAGATCCTTCCCACCCTTTCCCCCTGAGGCCTTTCCCCCCCTGAGAGCTTCTCCTTCCTTAGATCTTTCCCCCCTCTTTTTTTCCCCAGATCTTCTCCCTTTCCTCCCTAAGATCTTTTCCACCCCTTTCCCTGTTGAGATCATTTCTCCCCTTTCCCCCCTAAGGCCTTTGTCCCCAGATCTTCTCCCTTTCCTCCCTAAGATCTTTCCCCCCCTTTCCCTGCTCAGATCCTTTTCCCCCTTTCCCCCCTAAGGCCTTTCCCCCCCTGAGATCTTCTCCCTTTTCCTCCCTAAGATCTTTTGCCATTTTTCCCTGTTGAGATCCATTCCCCCTTTCCCCCCTAAGGCCCTTTCTCCCTCTGAGTTTTTCCCTTTTCCTCCCTACGATGTTTTCCCCCCTCTCCCTGTTGAGATCCTTTCCCTCCTTTCCCCCCTAAGGCCTTTTTTCCCCCCGCGATCTTCCCCCTTTTCCTTCCTAAGATCTTTTCCCCCCTTTCCTTGTTGAGATCCTTTCCCGCCCTTTCCCCCCTAAGGCGTTTTCCCCCCCAAGATCTTCTCCCTTTTCCTCCCTAAGATCCTTTGCCCCCTTTCCCTTTTGAGATCCTTTCCCCCCTTTCCCCCCTAAGGCCTTCCCCCCCCTGAGATCTTCTCCCTTGTCCTCCCCAAGATCTGTTCCCCCGAGATCTTCTCCCTTTTCCTCCCAAGGATCTTCTCCCACCTTTCCCTGTTGAGCTCCTTTCCCCCTTTTCCCCCTAAGGCCTTTTCAGATCTTCTCCCTTTTCCTCCCTAAGATCCTTTGCCCCCTTTCCCTGTTGAGATCCTTTCCCCCTTTCCCCCCTAAGGCCTTTTCCCTGCCTGGGACCTTCTCCCTTTCCTCACTGAGATCTTTCCCCCCCTTTCCCTGTTGAGATCCTTTCCCCTCTTTCCCCCCTACGGCCTTTCCCCCCGCTGAGATCTTCTTCCTATTCCTCCTTAAGATCCTTTGCCCCCTTTCCCTGTTGAGATCCTTTCCCCCCTTCCCTTTAAGGCCTTTCCAGATCTTCTCCCTTTCCTTCCTAAGATTGTTTCCCCCCTTTCCCTGTTGAGATCCTTCCCACCCTTTCCCCCCTCAGGCCTTTCCCCCCCCTGAGAGCTTCTCCCTTTTCCTTCCTTAGATCTTTCCCCCCTTTCCCTGTTGGCCTTTTTTCTCCCAGATCTTCTCCCTTTCCGCCCTAAGATCTTTTCCACCCCTTTCCCTGTTGAGATCATTTCTCCCCTTTCCCCCCTAAGGCCTTTGTCCCCAGATCTTCTCCCTTTCCTCCCTAAGATCTTTCCCCCCCTTTCCCTGCTGAGATCCTTTTCCCCCTTTCCCCCCTAAGGCCTTTCCCCCCCCTGAGAGCTTCTCCCTTTTCCTTCCTAAATCTTTTCCCCCCTTTCCCTGTTGGGCTTTCCCCCCTAAGTCCTTTTCTCCCAGATCTTCTCCCTTTCCTCCCTAAGATCTTCCCCCCCCCCCTTTCCTCCCTAAGATCTTTCCCACCCTTTCCCTGTTGAGATCCTTTCCCCCCTTTCCCTCCCAAGGCCTTTCCCCCCCTGAGAGCTTCTCGCTTTTCCTTCCTAAGATCTTTTCCCCCCTTTCCCTGTTGGCCTTTTTTCCCCAGATCTTCTCCCTTTCCTCCCTAAGATCTTTTCCACCCCTTTCCCTGTTGAGATCATTTCTCCCCTTTCCCCCCTAAGGCCTTTTTGCCCCAGATCTTCTGCCTTTCCTCCCTAAGATCTCTCCCCCCCCCCCCCCGGCGATAGTCTGAAATGGTGCCCCTGGGGAGGGGTTAGGGGAGGGGTAACAGGTAAAGAGGTAAGGAGCATTTTTTGTGTCCAACACGCCGTCTGTTGTCGGCGGATTTGTGTTCTTGTTTTTTTTGCAGCGACCCATTTTGGAGGGTCCAGGTTCTCACTCTCCCAAAAGGGGGGGAATGGACCGGGATGCGAGTCGAGTCTTCTCACTCCAGTGGATCCATTGTCCTGCCTTGATCTTCCAGGACCCTGAAAAAGGCAGGCCTTTGGCTGTCGAGTCTTTTTGAGCCCTCAGACTATCCAAAGAAAAGGGAATTCACCCATTGGGGGCAGTAACCAATTTGTGAGGGAATTTTGAGGGTCCAGGTTCTCACTCTAGTGGATCCATTTACCTGGCTTTGTAGGTAAAGGGCTTGCCAGCCTTTCAAAACCAAGAGGAAAATGGCTGGGTACCTACTGGGATCCACTGGTAGGCACTGTATCTTGCCAGAGCCCACCCATGTTTCCAAGGGAGCCCACCAAAGATCAAGAGGAAAGAAACCCTGCTATTTGTGACATACTCGCGTTTTGGGGTAGACTTGGTATTGCTTAACATTATGATTTATTTATCATTATTAATGTTAGCCCCATATTAATAAACCCTAGTTCATTCATAGAGGGTCTTCGGGTATAGTGCGGAATCGTCACTTTTGGAGGAGACCACCCCCAAAAAGTGTCATAAACTGGGGTTGATTAATATGGGATCAACATTCCTTGGTCTTCCAAGGGCCTTCTGATTTTGCTCTTGGTTGGAAAAGCAAAGTTAGCCAAAGGCCTGCTTTTTCAAAGTCCTGGGAATTTTACTATGACTATTATACGGGTGGTTTAGTGCTTGATGTTCTTTTCCCTTGATTTGGTTCCAGGCGCGCCAATGACGCCGTCAGGAGTCCCCCGGGTGGTTCCCTCGATGGGCACAGAGTACCAGCCGGTTGCCGTCTTGGCCAAGACCAAGCTGCGCCTCGCTTCGCAGTACTGCGGATGGTTGCGAAATCCGCTTCAACTCTTCCAAAGAATTAGCTCCCCCTTTTTTTTGTTTTTGCTTGTTTTTGGTGACACGCCCCACCGGACCCGTGGAGGCGTTTCTTTTTGGAGGGGGGGGGGGGATGACAGCGACCATTCCATGTGGGCGTTTCTTTTTTGAGGGGTGGGGGGGGAGGGGGGGATGACAGCGACCATGACCATGTTGCCAGACCCGGCAGGCGCGGCTTTGGTGTCTTCTGCGTGTGGCGGGGGGGGGAAGAGGCGGGCGAACTGCGCCCCCGCAGGCACGAGTTTGGCTGGAGCAGGGCATGTGGCATGTGGCAAGCGGAGTGATGGGCACTTCAAAAGCAAACCGCATGAATACACACACAAACATCCCATCCAACAACAACAACAACAACGTCAACAACAACAACACACGCACGTCCTTACTTTCGCACTTCGTTGGGCACCCATGGAGTCGGTCTTGGAGCCAGTCGCACTGCTTATTCTGCTACGCCTGGCACGGGTGTCGTTGCCTCCTGGTTTGGATGGCTGGCGGGCACGCAGCAGATTGATCGCTGCTGGCATCACTTGAAAAATATCATGCCCAGTGAGATGAAGAGCCGCGGTCCCAGCGGCCTGATCAACAGTCGCCTGTGGACGAGAGCATACCAATTCTTGTATAGACGGTCTTTGTGTGCCTGACATATTAAACATGTGGTCTCTGTGGCAAAGAGATAAAACAAGCAGTGCCCGATGCCAGCATGTCAATGCATGAAAGCTGCTGTTAGATACAAACGAACTTTTTGGCACCTTGCGGCATGCTCCTTCAGCAGATTTGAATGGTAAACGCGCGTTTTTGCGCGGGTCCTGCTGAGCGTGCGACCTTGTTTTTGGGTCCCTTTGTTTTCCACTAACCTGGTAAGAACATATCGTGTTTTGCTGGGGTCCTAATTCCAGCCAAACAAATCAGTGGGTGCCGGACACTTGGGGGACATTTTAGGTGGGGATAGTCGTGCTGTTGGTTGCGAAATCCGCTTCTCGCGCCACCCTTCAAAGCCTATGACTCATGTCCCAACAAGCAGTGCTTTCCCTCGAAGTGGTGCAGGAATTCCATCCGCAGTACCTCCTTGGATTGGAGAGTTCAAGAGTTCAAAGCTGTGGATGGTTGCGAAAACCATTTCGCAGCATATGAAACCATGGCTGACACATATATTGTTGTTGCTAGTTGCAAGGGAATCGAATCATTCGGATGTCGTCCATCCACAGGAGTCAGGTTCTGGGGGTGTTTTTTTGTTTTAGGAATCAGACCCCCTCCGCCTATGGCGCATTGGTGGTGGGGGGGTTTCGCAGGACTTCTCTTTTGTGCATGTTGCCTGGATGTTAGGACTTTAACTTTTTGCCAAGTACTGGGTTTTCCAAGAAACCCACTAAAAGTTATTCACTTTTAGCAGGGCTTCGCAGATTTCGCTGTGGCATGGTGTGGCCCATTTGTCACATGAGGCGATCACCTTTCTTGCATTTGCTTAAAGGTGATGAGAATCTACCACTTGGACATATCGTGTTTGTCCAGGATGCTTAAGCAAATGTCAGATTTTGTTTCAAGTTCCTTTTGGGCATGATGAATGACTGGGATGGAGGCGAAAAGGGCAACCACGTTGGGTCGCTTGAATGACAGGTGACAGGTGTGAGGCGAGGTTGGGTGGGGTGGGTCAGCTGGGCTGAAGTGAGGTAAGGTGAGTCACGGTTAAGTGAGGTGGGTAACGTCAGGCAAGGTGAGGTGAGTGCGGGGAGCTGAGGTGAGGTGAGTGATTGTACCGATTTAGGAGGTTCTCGGTGGATAACTTGCAAACGAAAAGCGGAGCCGTGTAGCTTGGGACATGCTGACATGTTGCAACCCGCGCGATTCACTTGCAAGCTGGAAGTGCTTGGCGAGCACCCACGCACTGCACCCCATGAGTTCGGGATCTTTGGTGTTGGTGTTGTTTGCATGCGTACCTGGACCCTCGAACTACCCAGAAAAAAAGGGAATTAACCACGTCATGTTGGGGCAATAGCCCCGTTTTAGAGTTGGTAGTTTGAGGCAGGCTGTTGATGACTTCTGGTGGACATCACATAGCTTTTTTGGAGCCGTTACCCCTGGTTGGTGCTTTCAGAGGAAAAAAAAAACGACAAAGGAACACTGCCATCTTTTTTTCGGTGGGGTCGCCTCAAAAAGGACACACCCATTTAGATGAGATTCATGTCCAACGAGTTTGGAGCTGGTTCCCTACTGAAATTTGAGGGGAAGCCTTGAAAAGGCTGCTCAACCCGGCATGAGGACTGATGGCTTGCCTAAGCCGTCCCAGGCTTCACGAGAAAACTGGCAAAAGGAACGCGTGCGGAGGATGTTGTTCGGGCTGTCGGGCGTGGAGTGTCCACCAAACGTCCACAAAAAACCGACGGCACATCCTGGCAGCGGAAAACCCAAAGGCTGGAACGATGTGGCCCCTAATTTGAATTGACGCCCTTCTGGCCAGGTTTGCCTGAGTTGGCGTTTCTTATGCAGACCCTGCGTAAAACATTAGAGCACGAAGCCCCTGGTCTTGGGATTTTCCCTTGTTCCAAGTGCCCACAATGAAGGGAGTCATTTCTGTGAACCATCCAACTGGTACGTAGGGTATTTGAATGGAACCTGAACCCTCAAACCATCCCTAGAAAGGGGAATTCACCAACCATGTGTGTTTCTGGGTTGCAACAACCCATATTTTAGTTGAAATTTTCAGGGTCCAGGTAGACGCCGCCACACCCTGGAGTTTAGTTGGGAGTTTAGTTGCCACCATTGAAACAATGGTTTGGGTTCATATAACCACTATTGTTTACCTAGGGATTGTCATCCTAATTGGGTCCCAAGGCCTTTGTTTCAAGGGGGACAAGGAACTCTACTTGAAGGGGCAGGGTACTTAGTAAGTGGTTAGTAAGCCAGGTTATAACCCACAGAACGGAGACTTATAACCAGGTGATAACCTGACTTACTAACCACTTACCTGACGTACCCTGCCCCTTTAAGTAGGGCACATGGTTCTGCTTCGTCAAACCGTCGGGTTCAATGGCCACGAAACGTGAGGTGCGCCCACTTCGAAAGTGGCAACTGCAAGAAGGGCGAGGGCTGCGGCTCGGCGACTGATCAGCCCTCAGGTCGCTTAAATGGATTGTTTGTTTCTTTTGTTTGTTCTTTCTGGGTTGCTTGTTTGTTTGTTTGTTTGTTTGTTTGTTTGTTTGTTTGTTTATATCTTTCATGATGTGTGTTTGTCCTATTCATTTAATTTGTTTGTTGTCTATTTTCTTGCCTGCCTGCCTGCCTGCCTGCCTGCCTGCCTGCTTGCTTGCTTGCTTGCTTGCTTGCTTGCTTGCCTTCAGCACGATTTCATTATACCCCCCACTAATACTACAAACGAAACAGCTGTGTATGATCGAGGGTACCCTTGGGGTTGGCAAGGCAAGCCAAAAGGAAACCAACCTTCTTGGGGCCATGTTCAGAGTCTGTCTACCAACACCCTCATTTTTTTCCAGGCAGCCGCCTTCTTAATTCTTGAAGCATGATTCTGGGTAGACCATGTTAATACCGGGTTTTGAGCAAGTGACTCAATTCCCTCTATGGCTAGTTCTTTCGGCTTCAGGTACAAATTCGAAGTTCGCCTGTCGTTGTCAGGTCTAGTTAGGTACCCTACCCAAGTTCGTCTTTGTTCCTTAGCGCTTCAACCCGCGAATCGGCCGGGCTCAACTTAAGCTTTTGATGTTTTTTTTTTTTTGTATTTGGTGGTTGGGTTTCCCTATACCCCACACAAAGTTGTGCCAGTTTCTTCGAGCTGTTACATGACGGCTTTCCCTGGTCGCAGTCAAACGGGCAGTTGGAGTTGCGGCGCGTCGATGATCGCTGAATTACAGATTGTTCGCGATTGGGCAGGAGCGATGGTACTCGTGATGCAAGTCTCTTACTGGAGTATCCATTTGGGTGTCATGTTAGGAGCTTTCCTTGTGGTTGTTCTTTTGAAAAACACAACCCTCAAGACTTCCAGAAGCGTAACTTGCTTCAGGAGGCGGCTCAGGTATAGTACAATCCTGTTTTGATGATTGGCCCTGCGGGGTGTTAGAATTCAAAGGGAGGTCGTTCGGGGTTTTCCCAAAACAGGTGCCTGAGCCCTCCAACTACTCATAACAAAGGAAGGAATTCAGCCCCAGTTGCCCAGTGGTTTTTCCTTCTTTCCCTTTCTTTGGGAAGGGTTCCCTTTAAACTGAACCAACCAGAAAACAGGATGCTCTTTTTTCCCCTGGCCACTGGGCATCATGTGTAAGGGAAGTTTGAGGGTCCAGGTGAATGGAATCGCTGGAGGGGAACCATGCAACGACAGATGGTTGGTTGCATCTGCGCTTGCGCCGGTGAACCCGCTTTCAAGTGGGTGTGGCTCAAAACTAGGCCAACAAATGGAACCCTAGCAAATGAACAAGTATCCGGACCCTCAAGCTTCCAACTTGAGAGTTGGTTATTGCCCAAACTTATGGGGTGAACTCCCTTGTTCATGGGTAGTTTGAGGCTTCAGGTCGACGAATCCTGTGGTTTTCTGGCCCGTCACAGCCACCTCTGGCTCCGAGGCAATTATGCGCACGGGGCTGCCGAGCTGAAAGCCGCGTGACATTGGAGGGAACCCACGGGTCTTTGACCCCAGGCGAAATCCATTTCGCACCACTTGGAAACCAGGGGAAACCCATTGTTGGTATTTGGGAAACCATGGGAAACCATGGGAAACCACCATGGGAAACCATGGGGAATCCTCATTCCAGGGTGTTTTAGGAGGTAAGTGAAAGCTAGTCAGGGACGATATTTTCTTGCCATGAATAGGTGCGGATCTCCGCCTCCTTAGTTCTTGAAGCATGGTTCTGGGTCGACCATTGGTGTACCGGGTTGTGATTGTGACTCACATGGGGTCATACTGTGGATGAGCATCCCCAACCCTCGACGGAAGGGGGTACCACTAAGGAGTTTTTGAGACCCCTTTGTAGGTAGGCCAATCATGCATTAGACGTCTCCAAGACTATTAATAGTGTGGATGGTTGCGAGTGATCCGCTAACCGCACCGAGAAACGGGCAGAAATCCCATTGGTTGTTGGTATTTTAGATTTGCTAAAGGATCGAATGAATCATTCCGTTGGGTTTTCTGAAGGGTGCCAAATGGTTTTCGTTCGTTCAGGAGACTCGTGCGTGGGGCTTTCCTTAAACCCGGGCTTTGAGGATGGGCGCGGAATCCATCCCGCGAGGTCGAATGCGACGAATGAGTCCGAGCGGCAGTATTGAAGCTGTAAAAGGAAGTGCGCCGCTAGGGGAGGAACTTGGACGGGTGGTGGACGAAATCCATTTCGCACCACCTAAGTCCTGGAATGAGTCGGTTCCCCTGTCAATACCAAGAGATGGCTTCCCATGGTTTCATTTTGTGGTGCGAAATGGATTTCATTCATCCACAGTAGCTCCTGGATCTCATGATCGACATTCCCTTCAGGGAAAGACCCATTGGGTTCCCAGACGCGTGCACCGTTTTCCTGACTCTTGGAGGGGTTCCCTGAAAAATCATCATGGCGCCTTCTTTTTTCGCGCCACGCTTCTGAGTCCCTATGTGTCTCCTTTTCATGAATGAGTTTCCTCCTGGTGAAGCGATGGATATATATATATATATATATATTTATATTGAGCGTACCCCTCAAAATGGTGGGGTTCCTTTTGGTTTCCCTTTTAAACGAACCGAAAATGGCTACCAGCTCCAGGCATGTTCTGGGGAACAGCAACTCTGCAGAATCCCGAGACCACACAAATTTCCTCTCATTTCCCAACCTACTGTTTCCCCCTCTGACTCCAAATGCAGGTCGTGTGCGTGGTCAAACGACCGGTTCCTTTTCTGCTCACCCCTGATCAAGTTGGACTTCAGACAAGTTCCTATCATTCAATCGCTACGGCGTGCTCCTCTAGCAGTCGTAAGCTTTTGGTTTGTGTTTTGTGGGTTTTGTGAGAAACAAGAGGAGCTTCATACAGACAATCCCTGTCCACCTCCATTGTACAAAAGTGAGAGTTTGGAATAGCTTGGTTTCTGAACAGGCGCCTGCCCCCGGTTGTGAGTCTACCTCGGGGTGGTCAAGCCATGGAACCCTGGAGCAGTAACAAACAGTTGGAACATGGGCCCCCTTTTTTTTATGGATGCCACCCTCCCGCATTTTGCTGGGGGAAGTCTCCAAAAGCTTGTGTGCAATATGTTGGTATCTATTGCTTGGGTATGCCTGTTAGTCAGAGTCTCTTTTCTGTAGGGTACCCCTAAGGTCGTACTTCAAAGGAATCACAGCCTGACACCCTTTCAAAAGACGGAACTCCCGTTTCTTTGCGGGTCCTCCTTCAGAATCCCATGAGACAGATCGCCAGGTGGCGCGGCTGACGCAAGGCCCTTGTGCGCTCGGAGGGACGGAAGAGGGCCAGGTCCACGGTTTTTGGGGAAGCATCGTTGAGGGGCCGTTTTTGAAGGGACCCTAGGGTTTTTTTCTTGCCCCCACCAAAATGGTAAGGAGCCAATTTGGATGACGATCCGTGTTGAGGTCCAACACTTTGCAATGGGCCCTGAAACCTTCAAGACTTTCCAATGGAGGTTTTTAGAGGGTCCAACGTTGCTTCGGGTGGCCATTCTTTGAGGATGGTTTTGTGGCGGAGGCACCCAAAGGTCGACAAGGTTCCGGAATCCTTCAAATTTGCCGGGAGGTTCCCAGCGAATCGTCCGGCTCAACTTAGGTTTGTAGGTAGTTTCTAGTTGGTTTAGTGGTTGGGTTTCGGCTTCACCCACTAAATGTTGAAAATGTAACAGAAGATCTGAGGACAGCCCATCCCTTAGACTTTGAGGATGGTTTTTGGGCGGCTTTGAGGGGATGAAGTACCTCAGAAGGTAGCAAGCCCGGCAAGTTGTAGGATTCCGGCATTTTTCGATTGGTGTGCCAGAGCTGGCGTGCCAGAGCTGGCAGAGGAGGCGTCGGAGATGAGGCAGACCAGAGCTTGCCAGTCCTCAGTTGTTCAGTGGCACCCTTTTTCCCCTTTTGTTTGGTGGCCCCACTAAACAAACGGTCTTCCCCAAAAAGGGTCCAGAAACCATCCGGAGCCTGCCAGGCCACAGCCACTAGGTCCCCCAGCTAGGTGCCCCCCAGCTAGGTGCCCCTTTTACCGTTTCTTTTTTGGTTGGGAGGGTTCCCCTACTAAAATAGACGTCCTGAAAAAAGTTGGTACCCTTCCAAGGACCTAGGCCAGCTGTCGGTTTGGAGCAGCTTGAGACCCAAGGGACCCTCTTCGCAAGATACTGGGATTTTTTTCGTTTGTCAGAGCCACTTGGGACAGAGCTCAGCCATTGAAATTAGCCACGGTTTTCGTACTGTGGATGGACGAAATCCATTTCGCACCACCTTTCAGAAACCCTAGAATGATGATTGCCCTATAAGTACCGCCAAACAATGGAATCTCATGGTTTCAAAGTGGTGCGAAATGGATTTCGCAACCATCCACAGTATGAGCGCGCGGCGAGGTCAGATCCAGATCCCGAAATCCTACCTGGACCCGATCCACACAGTCCAATTGAAACATCCACGTTACCCAGTGGATTCCCCCCGTCGTTTCACCTTTTTTTTGGGAAGGGTTCCGATTCCTTTAAACTCAACCAACCAACACAGCATCTTTTTTCCCATGGCCACTGGGCATCTGAGACAATTGCAACCCACATTTCATGGGGTGAATTCCAATTTTACAATGATAGCTTGAGGGTTTAGGTACATTCCCGGAGACGAATTGCTTCACCCACCAACCGGAGAGTTGTGTTTCAGAAGATCGACTTTGCCCTCCAAGGAGCCCAAAGAGGACACGTGCTCACTTTGTCACACCCCGTCCAGTTCCGCAGGTTTGTTTAAAGGGTTTTTAGTTGGTTTGGATCTGAGGATACCTTTTTACCCTCAAAAACACAAAAGGAGATTCATTTCAAGGCAATAACACATTTTTAAGATGGAAGTGTGAGGGTCCAGGTCGCCCATTTTTGGGGTACCTGGAGTCACGACCCTTAAACAATGATTGGTCCTTACCCAAAATACAGGGGTGATGGACCCATGTTTATTTCAAGTCAGAAGGAGACTCTGTCTTGGAGGGCACGCTGGTTGTCTTGGGGTTTGATCTGCTTGTGGACTGAGGATCGGCAGCCAGGAGCAGACCATTTGCAAAGGAGCGTGCGCTTCTTTGCCGGGGTGTGTGTGGTCCGGATGTTGCCAAGTGCTTCCTGGCGATTGTGAACCATGACATTCTTGAAAGTTCGGTGACCGGGGGGATCCAAACAAATGGTCGTTGAAGTGTTCTTTGTTCGGAGGGCCGTAGGACCTGAGCCCTCAACATTCCAACTTAGGCATGGGTTGCCCCAAACTTATGGTTGAATTCCTTTTCTACTTGGTAGTTTGAGGGTTCAGGGATACACTTCTGTGTTCGTGGCATATGGTTGTGTGTTTAATTGGGACCATCTTGGCAATCTTGGCCTGTGTTTTAGTTCCGTCTGTGGTTCTAATTGTTAGCGCAGCGATCCCGAAAGCTTAGGATTCAAATTGATTCCTCCGTCCTGATGCAACATGGTGCCTCAACCCGAAAGAACTACCCATAAAAACAAGGAGCTCACCCCACATTTGGGGTTGCAAGTACTGTTGTTTGAAAGAAACAATGTTGAAGCTCCAGGTAGTGGCCTCCCCATGTTCAACCTTGGACCCTGCACTTGTCCTTTTCGCGTGGTTTCGACCACTATTGTTGAAGCAGTCTCTAGCTTCCTTTCAATGGTGGCCATATATCCAATTTGGGTCAATGGACCCTTAGGGTTACCATTGGTCTTACTCGCTGCTACACTTTTTTTTTCTGAGAAGACCATGTTAGTGGCAACCACAGACATTGAACCAAGTGAGTGGTAATCAAAACTAGGTCAATGTGTGGGACATTGTGGGACCCTCAGAGACGCGTTTGCCCTTGGCTATAATGAGCAGAGAACACCTTGAATGCCTAGGGTTAGGGTTGAATAACGTCGGACTTCCGGGCAGTCCTTCAGCTATGGCTTTTGTGGCCAGATTGGATCCCAAACATCCAAACCACCAACCTGAACAAGTAAATAAACAACTAAAGCGCGCTGGATGTCAGCAATTATGTCTGGGCCAACTTAATGGGTAGTTTGAGAGACCCAGAAAGGGAATTCACCAAGCAGAAGTCATCTTTAAGTTGGAATCGTTTATTCCGGGACCAGGAAGGCTGACCATGGAAGGCCCCCGTGCACCGGGAGCTTGAAGCCTTGGGGTCTATTGCGTGTCTTTTTTGTCGTGGCAACCATCGGAAAACCACCACCAAACCACCAAACTACCACTAGGTCCCCTTTTACCGTTTCTTCTTTGGGGTTTTGGGTTCCCCTGCTAAAGTGGACTACCAAACAAAAAGAAGAATCGGTGCCCTTGTTCTAACCGCTCTACTGGACCTAGACCAAGGGGTGGCATGTTGGTGACAGGCTCAATTTTGACGGGGCAATCGCAATTTGAGAAAGCAGATATGGTCCCTGGAATGCATGCTGTTATGCTGTTTTCGACTTAGCGCTCCGGCGACATATCCAGAAGAAGAACACTTGGCCTCTATTGCGTAAAACCAGCGGTCACCACCAAACCAGCAAGGTGGGATCTTTG